GATAATAAATTTCACAGTGAGAGTAACTACCCGGTACCTTATTATATTCGTCTAGATATTTGGCAAGAAGTGACGATGACCTGCGGTCGTTCCCTTTCCGTGCGTAATTTCAGACGGTACTCACACAAAATAATTATAAAATAATGAAAACGCAACTTACAGTTCATGGAATACACCTTTACATACATTATTTAGGGTTCCACCCAAAAGAATATCCCGAAAATAAATAAAATACAATTCTGTCAATGCCAAATCCATTTTCAAATATGGCGGAGAAATTAAAATATAATTACCTAACCAATGTTGTCAAATTTTAATTTGTGGAATTTTAATTTTATTTTATTGTGGGGCCATAACATGTTACAGGTTTTTACTCTTTTCAAAGTGGTATCTCTTGATTTTTAAATAAAATTCCCCCTTATATAGTAATTAATAATATATAAGTTATAAGAATAATTTATAAAACTGTTTGTTTATGCCAAGTATTCTTTTTAAAAATCAGGTACGCCAATTTTGCTCATCTGCTGCAAGAACTGGGAAACTGGTGCAGGTAAATATACATTTTTTAAAGATATAATTACGTAATTTAATTAAAAGATTAATATGTCATCTGCATCTTTTAAAAAGAAGTGACATGGTGGGTTGACGTGTATCCAGGTTGGTTCTAAGCATTAATTCTTCATCCCTTAATTTTATTATGCATTATCTAATGAATCATTTTAACCACAGTATCAATGATCAAGTCCAAATAGTATTTATTACTTTATTATCTATATAATTAATTTTTCATTTTGATGCTATAGGCCCCAGTGCAAGTATATGGTGTTGAAGGTCGCTATGCATCAGCTCTTTATTCTGCAGCTGCAAAGAAGTCTAAACTTGAAGTTGTAGAGAAAGACTTGCAGTCCCTGCAGAAAGAATTGGATAAAAATGAAGACCTCCTTGAATATCTGAGAGATCCATCTCTTAAAAGATTGGAGAAAAAAAGTCAGAGTTGTGGTTTATCACATTATAACAGTAGCTTTGCATGATTTAATTTTTATTGTTTATATCTTTTTTGCCTCTGATTGTAATGGATAGAACTAGAAAATTACAGCCTGTAATTATATATAGGTAATTAATATTTTTGTATATAGGCAAGAACCAAAGATGGTTTTCCTAGCAGCAGAGTTGACTCATGTTGCTTCATCTCCATCTCTTCAGTCCATTTTTCCTGTTTATTTTTTTCTTCTGCTTTTTTAAAATAGAAGAGAAAATTAATTTTAATTGAAATCTTGTATGCGCGCTTTTTTGTACTTAACATATTTGAAAATCTTGTTTTTTTTGCCCCCAAAACTTTGTGTTTCGGGAAATTAAACTTGGATTGCATTTCTACCCCTTTTCATATTATTATATGTTCAATTTTATACATATCCATTTTTTTACATTTTTTTTTTTCCAGGAGCTGTTCAAAGCTTTATGAAAGACCAAAACTTCTCAGAGTTAACTGTGAATTTGTTTGGTAAGTGAGATACAATGAGTGAGGAATTAAACAAAAACATCAAGAAAGAAATTTAACCTTTTCAACCCATTTTTAAAAAGTTCAAATGTACATTCTTCATTTTTAGTTCAGGGAATGATGGTTAAAAAACAATAATATAAAGATAAAATAACAAAGTATGCTTTATAAACTTCAGCAATGAGTAAAGTTTTTTTATATGTGCTTGTCAGAGGCAACAAAGGATATGCTACCAGGCTCACTTTGCTAAGTTCAAAATTGAACAAAATATAAGTTGGTATTCACTTTTCCCTCAAATTTGTGTGTGTGCTTTCTTTTACTTGATGAAAATGATTATCTTAGCCAAGAGAATGTTAATTTGGAAATAAACTTTTTTTTTCATATTACACCTCACTATTACTTTGCTTCATTGCCTTGTCCTTAGCCAGAAGAATTTCTTTTGATCTAATTGTTTAATAAAAGCATTCATCAAATTAATTCAAGTTTAAGAAGAATTTCAATTATTTTAAACAACGATTCACAAGAACTTTTCAACAATTTTTTAGTATTTCTGTATTGCAAAGCATTAAAGATTATCAAGGAGGAATTCTAAACCATATCATTGAAAGCAATTTTTGATACAATTACAAACGGCAGATTTATGGCAGTCAACAAAATTTGACATAAGTAAAATGTTTGATTACCTCATTGGAAACAGCATATTAGCTACTTCCTGATTTGAACAAACAGTTATGCTACATAAAGGAAATCAGTTGAAATGTAAGTTTTAAAAAAAATGTTTTTCTCTACACTAGTCACCTTGGTTGACAATGGAAGGATGAACAAAGTTCAGCAAGTGCTTTCGACATACAGCAAGCTAATGAGTGCTCATAGAGGAGAGGTGATGTGCAACGTTGTTACAGCTAAGGTATATATAATGCTGTAAATTATTGGGGGTGGGTGTGTGTCTGGAATAAAGTTAAAAGTAACAATAAGTACTCTAAAACCATGTGGTTAACCCCCCCCCCCCCCCCCAACAACGTTTAATAGTGTAGACACTAAACTTCATCAGCCCCAAATATCTAACTTCTCATATTCTCAAATCAGATCAAAACATTTAAATACTGGAGAAAAAAAATCATTATGTTTTAATTTGTACATTTTGTTAATATCTTCTTTCTCCGGTTCACAAATTATAAACAAAAAGTTTTATTTTCAGCCTTTAGATGAAGCCAGTCTGAAAGACTTGAAAACAGCTCTCCAAGGATTTTTGAAGAAAGGGGAAACGCTTCACCTTAGTACATTGGTAATTTTAATACATTGGTCTGATTAATTTAAGTTATTTACTCCTTCAATGTTCGTTGTCTGTTAGTAAAAAATGTAACATTATATTCAAATATTTACCCCAAACATACAATGTTTACTTGATCTTACAGGTGGACCCTTCTCTAATTGGAGGAATGACTGTAACCATTGCTGACCGGTTTGTGGACATGTCCATGAGATCTAAAATTAATACCTACACTTCTTTGATCAAGGCAGCTGTTTAATTATGTGTTTTAAATAGCTTGATACTAGTTTAACATGACTGGGTTGCCGTGCTACAGTAAGAGGATACTTTCTGATACACTCAATAAAGATGTGTCAGTTGTAATTTGAAACATTTCCTTGTAGTTATTTATTTTATATCTGAGCAAGCCTGAATGTTACAACTTGATTAGGGCTTTGTTAGTAGAGGTTGAGCTATAGATTTCTGTATCAAAATTATGTAAAAGTATGTATTTGATAATTCACACTGAGAAAAAGAAATTATTTGAAATATAATAAATATTGTTAAAACTAACCTGACTTTTCAAATTATATCTTGTTATCTATGGTATACTGTGTTCTAGCATGTATAGAGATTTGATAAAAATCCAGGCTCATATAATCTTGTTTCAGTTGAAAGAAAAATCATAATTCTCATTCATGTTAAGATCTGTTAAAAAACAAATTAAACATTTTTAAATGATTAAAACTGGAATTGAAACTTTTTTAATTGTGGTATTGTTAAAGTTAAATACATTAGTTTCAATGAATATCAAACTTGACCTATTTTTCACAGTTGAAAGTGAAATATAAGGTGGCTAAAAGATTTAATATTACATATATTGATGAAAATAATAGTATTAGTGGTTTAAAAATTAGATGCTGCTATTAATTCAGCCTTAAAAATATAAAATGTAAAAAAAGCTTAATGCTATTGCTATGTGGAAAAGTGTGTTGGGAGTGGGGTAGCTAATTAATGTGTAAAAATGAGTTATGTCTGGCAATGTTTTTACTGGATGTTTTTGTTTTTTTTAAAAAAGGGGAAGGGGGGGGATTGGAGGGATTTTTAATGTAACAAAAATTATATTTAAAATGTTACAGCTCTGGAAAGCTTAAAATACTTTAGAGAAACTTCCATTATAATTGTAATTAAAAATAATACTTGTTTAAAAACAATTTATTAAAAAGAAAATGCAGATTGAATATTGTATCCCATGAAAACCACTACTATTTCTATATATATATTTTGTTGATAAACTTTTTCAAGCTCCTTGACTCGTCTGAAACAAAGTTTGAAGATACTCTTTAGAAACCACAGAAGTAGTAGTGCAAAAATAAAATGGTGGTTTTCCCCATCATCCACTTCACTTTGTAATATCTGGAGTACAATCTGGATTCTACTCTCTCCATTACTGTTTCTACTTGCCATTTCATTAACTGGGTAATATCTGGCGTATGCTATGGATGTCTACTTTCTCCAATACTGTTTCTTCTGTTAGTTAACTGGATAATGAGGATGAAAACACTGCTCTGGGCGATGAGTATGGCTTGGAGGGACAAGAGAGGGAGGGGAATTAGCATAGTGAGGAGAGATCATTGGTGACCTATGCCCAGAGGGGTGACCTAGCATGACATAGTGTTGAATTTAGTATTGTTTGGAGGGAGGTGTAGTAAAATGTTAAAAAAATAATGAGAACATGCTGACAGTGCACCATTATTTATGGAATAAAGGTAAAAAAAAAAGTCTTCAAAATTCATCATGTTTAGTTAATTTACTGGGCTACAAGAAGGCGGTTGGCTTCAATTCTAAGCAACTGACCGTTTATTACACGTAATAAGATGATCCTCTTGACTACCACTTCGAATTATTGTCAATCCACTCCTAAGATTATATGAACTAATTTTCTTTTAGATTTTAGTTGTTTAGTAATATATTTTAAAAATTTGTTTACGTCTTTGTTTCTGATTGCCCAAGAACGCGTATGGCAGTTTTATTCATTTTAGTGATAGTTTTTGCTGAAAATGACATCTTCTGCCTCACAATACTCCCATACATTTCCTTATAAAATGTACTACTTAAAACATTAAAAAAAACAATTAAGATTTATGTAGCCATAAAACTTTCAAAATTCTCTTTTCAATTTTTACTATAAATTATACACGAGTCAAAATTCGATATCAAATAAAAAAATAACATAAAATTGTGAAAGTTACCATTTTAAATAATACTAATTATGCGAGACAATTTTAAATTTATGAAGTTGAATTTCCATTTTCAAGCATACGGGAAGTTCCATAACTATCGTTTGTTGTTTGTTATCAAAATATGATTCCCCCTCCCTCACTGATTCCCCCATCACGCCTAACTCAACATTTCTCCTGTAGCGTAGCCACTATTTTTTTATACTCTTTTTACAACTGGTATTCTGTGCGTACCAGCAGCCCACCTTAAACCATCATTTTGGTAAGTAGGCATATTTAATCAATTTTCAAAGAGCTGGGCAGGAACTATCTGACTATGATTCTGATTCTATTATTATTATTTTCTATCTATCATGAGTCATACTTAGAGATAGATTCTATCAACCACTGTTTTTAACAATACTCATGACTCCTACTCATATATTATATTATATATAATGATAAGTAATTTTAATTTTTGTTATTGTTAAGTTAGACTATATTGTATGTAGTATGATAACCCGGCCCTTTGTGAATGTGTGTTACTATGTTCTATTATTATTTTGTAGTATGTATCAGTATCAGTACAGTGTACAGTATCATAATCTAAATCATATAGTTGCTAGTTACATGTCATTGATGTAGCCTACTATCATCATTTACTATGACTAAACTGCTGGACCATTCTTACCAAACTTATAAACCCACTATGACTATACTAAACTATAAATAAATTATAATTTATTGTTAAATTATAATTTAGTATCAGAGTACTATTACTAATCAATCACTGTACGGTACTAAGAATAAGAGCTATCTATTAATCGGTAATATCTTAATAATTTTTATATAATATATTATAATATATATTAAATATGTAATTGTAATGTATATTAATTTATTGCACTAAAATATATGATTACCAATCGGTAGCCAATCTAGTCTCCAGCCATATGAATATGATTGACTACTATTCATCATAGTGGGGATTTAATTAGGCTATAAGTTTAAGTATAGGCCTAGCCTACTAATATACTTTACTATTAATTATATTAATAGACTATAAACCAGATATCTAACTAAGGCCAGCGGTGAGATACGGCCCGATAGAAGTCCTAAAAATTAATCATAATCTTGACCGCTGTAGCTATGACAAATATGGTGGGAACATAAGACCATCATCTAATTTAATTTGAATTTGAGCCAAATGCAAAAGCAGGCCCATACAAACTCAAAAATGCCAACCTGTGGCAAAAAAAGAACTGAAATGAAAAAAAAAAAACCAGGTCAATGCAAAAAGAATGTGCCATTTACATGTTTTTGTAAAGTTTCTGTTTTGGATTCACTACCTTTGTTTTTGTCACTAGAGTTAAATTTTCCTTCATATGACTATGACCATGGTATGTTTTTAATAAAAAAATTTTTGGTTGATTAATTATAATTCTAAAATTTCATTGGTTGGGTAATTATAATATTTTAATTTTTCCACCATATTTGAAAATGGATTATTGCATGACGGCATGGTATTTTATTCATTTTCTGGTTATTCTTTTCGGTGGAACATGAAATAAAGTGTGTAAAAGTGTATTCTATGAAACTGTATGTTGGGTTTTCATTATTTATTTATTTTAGAATTTTTTTTTTTTATTGTTTTTCTTCATTTTTTAGTTTTCTTACCAAAATGTAAAGCTTCATCCATACAAGTGTTTTTTACTTGAGGCTTTAGGGCTAGTTTTACGGTTTGGAATACATTTAGGGCTCAGTTTAGGTTTATGAATACATTTAGTGTGCAGGTTATGTTTAGGGATAGATTTAGGGTTCAGGTTAGGTTTAGGGATACATTTAGTGATTTAGGGTTCAGGTTAGGTTTAGGGATACATTTAGTGATTTAGGGTTCAGGTTAGGTTTAGGGACATCTTTTCATTAAATTTTAACGTTTTATTCCTAATTTTACCAGAGGGAAGTTATTTTATTTTTCCATGGCCGTCATCTTGGTTGCCACAACCCATGAACCCATTAAAGTCCACGGGTCGCAGCAACCAAGATGACGACCGCGTGATACGCCGTGGCGCATTCTCTTTGTATTTACCAAAAACCACAACTGCATGAAAAAATTTACAGACAAAGAAAAAAACAAATGTGTTAAAAAAAAGTATGACTTATCATTTTTTTCATCATTTAAAAAAATATTTTGAGTGCATGATTGAATAAAAAAATGAGAAACCTCCCATTCACTGCGTACATTTTAGCATGTATATATCAATCATAAATGGCAGAATAAATCACATCTTTTAAAAGAAAATAGCCTGTTTTCAATTGCATAAAATTAAGCCATGCCATTTTAATAAATAGGAATGATGACTTATGCAAGTTGTTGATTGATATTACTATTAAATATCACACAAGCTGATGTTTAAATGTGGTTAACCACTCAAATCAGTTATTACAGGCTACAGTATCTTAGTATTAACAAATGATATCAATGAAATGTGGTGTTTCTAATTTTATATGGCCTTGTCGATTCTCAATGTGTTCATTTTGAACAGACCAAAAAGATTTAAGCTTCTTGTTGTCCAACTTTGAATTCTAAATCCAATGAAAAACCTTACAAAAGCCTGTACGGCTATACAACTTGGCAGATGTATAAAAACCGTACAAAGTATGGGCAATTCATACAGATTGGAATGTATAAATAATTTCCCTTGAAATACTAATTACTTTATTTTTATTAAAATTTTTCATTTAAATTATTTTTTTCCCCCCAGGTTTTTTAAAATTTAAATTAAAAAAAGATTTTTTTTTTTTTGCACTTCAAATAAGATATGTGCAATGTGCTGAGAAATTTGTTCATCTATTTAAAACACTACTGCCTATGCCTATATTCTTTTCTATAGACCAGTGGTCCTCAAAGGTGGCCCCTGGATATATATATAATATACTATTAATCAGCTTTTGAAGCCATTCCTCGCTGAGGTATTTTAAAAATATTGTTTACTCTGATGCAGAAATTAAATAACTAATTTTAGATTATTGAACGTTTCAAACATTAAAAGTATTGTCTCTGATAGGCCCCTAGGCAGTTGAATTTTGCCCCCCCCCCTTTTTTTTCCCTCAAAAAAATTATACCTTAATGTCACATCAACAGTGGCGTAGCTAGGGTTGCTGACGCCCAGAGAGGGGTAAAGCTTTTTGCCACCTCCTTTCAAGTGAAAAAATCTTTACAGTTGGCCTAAAATGCTGCCCCTCAAAATAAGGGAAAAAAAAGTGTGGCCCAGAGCAGACTGCCCCCCCCCCCCCCAAAACCCTTCCCCCGCTGCATACCAGTTGCTGGTACGTGTAACTAAAACTTTTTGTTTAATTTGGTGGGTTGGGGTTCTGGAAGGGGTTATGGGGAAAATTTTCATAAATTCATAAATGCAGGGATGCATTTTGGCACATACCTTAATTTAGTTTTCATCATAAAATTATGTGCTGTCTTCTTAATTAACTTTATCTTCGTTTGTTATGTAGTACACTTTTCCCGTGCTTGAACTTTGTTTCACCCCACATTAGATCCCTAGCAGACGGTAGCATTTGTTGTGGGCGTGGCTTAGTCTTTGATGTATCTTGTTTACTACAGGTTTCCAATTAAACATGGTTAGTAGGTCTACTAGTATCTTGTCGAAGGTCCTCAGTTGTATTGGAAAAGTAAGGGCGTTTCTAGACGCGTCGGTAGACCCACATATTTAAGGGATTGACAGGCACAGAGAGGGACGGAGATTGATAGGTATTTTTAACTTCACGAGACGTGTATTATTCTTTGTGTACTTATATGTGTTTATTCGCATTGATCATTCATCATTATTGATTGTCACATTGTACTAACTGTGTTAACTGTGTACCGGTTCAAGATCGACCATACTGTAAGTTGATGATTTGTAATGATATTTCTTTTGTTTTGTAGTTGTATTATTACTAAATTGAATCGAATTAATTGTAATTGGTACTGTTTGCGTACTTTTGTTATTTTATTTTTCTATGGTATCGTCCTTTGTTAGGAACTGTTTGAACGAGCCATAAATTTAAAATAGGAGATTAATTTCTCACAAGAGAAGGCAGTGCGTAATACGTTGCTAGAGATATACAATGCCCTCCCCCCCCCCCCCGCCCCCCCCAGTTTNCCCCCCCCCCCCCCTCCCCTACCATTTTTTTAAAGGAGCCATCCGAGCGGGCCCCCCCCCCCCCCCACACACACACACTTTTCCCTACGCTAGGGATATAGGCCTGTTTACGAAAAGGTAGGATAATTTACGATTTTGAGTCCCATGAGGCTATTGCCTGGGGTGGCCACCCAGTAGACCCCAACCTCCTTTTGTTTCACATCTTTTGGTCCCTTGGTCGCTGACCCACTTAAAATAAAAAGTACAATGCCAGCTATCCACCCCAGCTGTCGTCAAAAGACGACATTCTCTCAAAACCCTACATTTGACGCTGTCTGTCTAAGGAAACGTTTACTGGACTTGTTTTCTTCGGTGTGGTCTCACGGGGCTTGCAAACCCATTTAGTTCCAAATAATGTTTCCCGTGCTGCCAGTGCATTGGAACTTTTCACTAGCAAATTTCCCTTTTAACATTTTTAGTATCGCGTATCACCCTTTTTTTTTTTTTTTACCCAGTGGAAGGTTTTAATGTATTTGCCTGCTGCCTCTTTTAAAGCTTTAACTTTTAATCAAGCAATGTAATCTGATTTTTGGGGGGTCTCATTTTCCCTGTTCTCAGCCAGTGCATTGGAACTTTTCACTAGCAAATTTCCCTTTTAACATTTTTAGTATCGCGTATCACCCTTTTTTTTTTTTTTACCCAGTGGAAGGTTTTAATGTATTTGCCTGCTGCCTCTTTTAAAGCTTTAACTTTTAATCAAGCAATGTAATCTGATTTTTGGGGGGTCTCATCTTCCCTGTTCTCACATGACGACAGTAGCTAAAAGGCCGTCCTTTGATGAATATTAGCACAGGAAGACTTTTATTTTTTTTTTCTCCCCTTACTTATTTTTCTTCCCCACCTCTATAAATAATTTTTAAAAAATTGATAGTTAGACTTTTCTCAAGATCACATTAATAAAAAAAAAAAAAGATTCTTTGTCGCGAGGCCCCTAATGGCACGGGAGCCCCTGAAAGGTGCCGGGTCCTTAGGCACATGCATCATTTGACTTTAGGTTAATCCGGAACTGGAGTATGGTATGTCACACAATTTGCTTTTAGTGCCACAGGAGATGGTAACAAATTTGAGACCGCGGCGGTCCTGTTCACTCTCAATCACTTTTAGTTCAGGGACTCCCGACCCCCGAGTAATAATTTGATTATATGCCCTTGATTTGGATGACTCATAATTGAAATAAAAACAACTCCAAAAAACCGAATATAGTGTTACCCCTCATCACTGTATACGTTCTTATGGTAGAGAGGGATTTTAACCAGAACTTCATTTTCACCTGTTACCAGGAAAAGGGGGGGGGGGGGTGATTCACGTGGGGAGTGGGCAAATTGAGTTGCCACCTGGTTCAGTCTACCTGCCCCCCAACGTTCTTATGGTAGAGAGGGATTTTAACCAGAACTTCATTTTCACCTGTTACCAGGAAAAGGGGGGGGGGGTGATTCACGTGGAGAGTGGGCATATTGAGTTGCCACCTGGTTCAGTCTACCTGCCCCACTCTGTGTGTGTGTGTTGGTCCAACTGGGGGACTAGGCCCCACTTATATTGAGGATTGTTATCAATGTCGCCTCCCACGTGTAGGTCTATTTAAAGGAACATTGACACACCTCGGTGTGTACATAGTCTTCGGCAAAGACATCCAGTGAGTTGTGTGGAAAGTTTTGTTTTAAAAGTTGTTTCACTCATTGTGGACGGTGCGGGCCCGCCTGTTGGGAAAGAAACGATTTGTTCAATCATGGACGCGGTGGATTCTTAAGTTGGTGAGCGCTCTTTTAAAAAAAAACATGCTTATTTGAAAATACATCTGAATTAAGTCCAATTCATAACATGTATTTGATGTGCTACACATGTGTTTACAGTAAACAGAAGCTACATTGAAGAGCCGTCGTTCTTTAGAAATGTCCATTTCCAGTGTACCAAGGCTGGCGCACTATTAGGCAAAGATGTGCTATCGTCAATTATAAGTGTTGATTTATGCATGACTCGTGGTCCAATAGTTATTTACGGATTTGCTCGAGAGCTCCAGCACAGCTGTTCACTCTGGTTCATTAACACATGGCTCAGTGAGTTGTAGATGACGTCACATCTGTTTAATGACCCTGCGGACTGCACCATTTTAAAACTTTTTTTTATTGGCATCCATATTAGTCAGTCTGGATATTCATGTTAGTTGCCACAACAGAGTTGCATATGTAGCCTTAGTGGTGGCGTTGTTAATGTCATACATACTGGCAGTTTATCAGCAGTGGGTTGTCGACAAAGAAAAGATCCTAAGATAATTTCAGGCTCTCATAACGTGTTCCATCAGTTGTATCAAATCTCAACCATAGCTCGGATCACTCCGATATTATGAATTGTTGTAGACATTCTCGAATGTGATTTGTATATATTTTCTCTCTTGAGGCCTTTAAATTAAAATGCACCAGGAGGATAGGTCCACTCTGATTAACTTCGCTAGAAATTGAGCTGGGCCGTTAAGTTTTGTGTTTATCACAGCAGGCTCAAGTCTTTATTTTCTATGATGAACACTAGGTATGGAGCTCTTAACCTTCTCGAAATGCTGCACCAACTCTTTATTACAAAACATCATTCCCACAGCCAGGGACGGCATTTTCCCCCCCCCTCCCCCCAAGTTGTAGTTTTTATTTAAATTGCTATGTACTGTGGCGCCTCCAGTAACACCCTAACGAGCCGACCAAGTTTTGGTTTTTGCCCCCTCCTCACCCCCCACCCCCGGAAAAAAATCTGAAAATGACGCCCCTGCCCACAGCCCCACGATAAGAGTGCTACTCAAAAATGGAAATAAACCAAATTTTCTGAGTGGTCCCGCATCCCCTGACCACCAGGAGGTGGTCCCGCATCCACTGACCACCAGGGGGTGCGGGCGTCCCGGTTTAAGTAAACATGCACTAAGCTGCTGTCTAATATAGTCTAATTAAATGTCCACCATGATTGCCCTAGCATAGAGTTGGCTCAAGTCTTTGTGTTTATCCTACTGCTGGGGGTGGGGGGTCTTGTAAACATTCTCAGTAGACAATATCACTTGCTGATCATAACCTATTTTTAGTTCAAAGGAACAACCGGATCAAAGGACAATGCTTCCAGCCTCCATTCCTAACCTTCACTGCGATTACTTAACACCCGACATCACTTACTGCCATCCCGAACTTCCACAGCCATTATTGCAACACCTGACATCAATAACTTCCGCTGCCCTCACTGAGCTGAACACCTGACCAAATAAACCCAGCACCCCCCCCCCTTGCAACATCTTACATCATCAAAACATAATTAAAAAAGCCACACTAACATTTATCCTTTTATTCATTTTACGAGAAGGGCCGCAGATGACATTCTAAATATGGAGTTTTAGTGTGGGCTGCCGATAATATTTTAAATACCGTATAGGGTTTTAGTAAGGCCTACCCAGGGGCGCCTATTCCCCCTGAGTGGTGGAAGCCACCCCCCCCCTTCCCGGGTCTTTGGACTTGGTAAATTCTGTGTGTGGGTCATTTCAGTCATAGGTATTGATAATTTAAAGGGAGTTCACATCTTAAATACAAAAATTTAGTTAAAAACTGTTAGAACATTGTTGCAGGGCCGGCGCTAGGGGATGGCGAAGTGGGCGGCGAGGGCCCCGCGCGTTGCCATAGTATATGTATAATATACCTAAGCCTACTAATAGTTCCTAATCCAGTCAACAGAATATTCGGAATTATTAGATGGCCAAATGGTCTGAAGGTCAATCTGGCTCCCTACTATCTATAACGTGTTTTAATATCCTATCGGCGTCAACGGCCCCGCAAAATTCAATTTGCCCAAGGCCCCGCACCCTCCTAGCGCCGGCCCTGATTGTTGACTATTGAATAATAATGTTGATAACAATTATAATTTCGCTTCTAGCTCAATAATTCTTTTTATTTTTCGGCAATTAAAATGATACAATCCTGAGATAATATTAAAACATGCATTTTTAGGTCTACATTTTTTAAATTAAGGTCTACATTTTTTATTTAGGCTATAAATCTTCAAACTCACATTTTGGTTGTTAGACTGACTCTAAATAAGGGGTTTTCGTAAGGCCCACCTATGACATTCTAAATATGAGCTTTTAGTAAGGCCCACTTATTAAATTCTATAAATCGGGCTTTGTTAAGGCCCACCTATGAAATTCTAAGTATGGGGTTTTAGTGGCATGTATTTAGAAATTAGTTCCTCATGCCCCTATACCAAGATCGTAAAAAAAAAATTATTAAACCAAGCCCGGGTTTTGAGCTATAACATCTCTGCTCTCTGAAATGTATGCTCCACAGTGTTAAAACAACTTTCTATTTAACGTTTGAAACATGTAAATACTTTAACTCGTCTGTGCGTTTAAAATGAACGCTGAAAGTCAAGGGAAAGATGCGGGGTTTCCTTGTCGAGGGGGTGGAGCATGGGAAAGCCGTGCTGATGGAAGTGTGGAAAGAGCGTGCTCACGAAAAGTGCTGTACAAAATGGTAACACCGTTCGTAACAGTGCTTTTTTAATTGGGAAGATCATGGTCTTTGGAATAACCATAGCATCTCATTTCTGCTGAAATCAGACCTACGTTATGTGAGTTATAAAAAAGGTAACCCCAGCCAAAAAAAAAAAAAGAGCATATCTCTATGCCAGGAAATGCACTCGAAGAAGGGGAGGCCTTCACACACTTCGGCAATACCTTTGACATTAATGGTGGATACGAAGTGGATGTCAGGGCTAGAAATCGGAAAGACTATATCAGTATTTGTACGGCTAAAGAAAATATGGGAGTCAAAGGAGCTGACTCTGCAGATCAAAGTCAGAAATTTCAACACAAATGTCGAAACAGTCCTACTCAATCGAGCTGAAACGTAGAGAAGAACAGCGAGCATCACGCAGAAAGTACAGACCTTCGTAAAAATTTGCCTTTAAAAGATCCTGATCATCAAATGGTCAAACACCACCTGGAAAGGACATACCAGGAACCTATTGCTGAAGACATCATAATGAAAAGATGGAGGAGGATAGGGCACACTCTTCGCAAAGCCCCAGTTTATCACCAGACAATACCTAACATGCAATCCACCGGGAAAAAGAAAGATAGGAAGGCCTAAAGAATACACGGAGACGCGAGTTGGCGGCAGACACACACAGTATGAGATACACCTTGGAAGCCACTGGAAAGGATCTAAATCAGGGGTCGGGAACCTTTTTATCTGAGAGAGCCATGGACACCACATATTTTGAAAAGTAATTCTGTGAGAGCCATATCCTCCTCATCCTCATGTCCCTTAGTCCTTGGACCGTTGGGGCGCCAAAGATGACATGTGAACCATCCTCCTCCATCCCTCTCTGTCTTCAGCACTACGCACTGCATCGCCCAGTGTTAGTCCTGACCACTCTTTGATGTTATCCTCCCTTTTTCTTTGTCTTCCTCTTCATCTCCCTCCTCTTGTGGTGCCATATACGTTATGTTTAAAACTAAAAATTCAAGAAAATGTGTGCATTTTGTGTAATTTCAACACTAAAAATGCAATAAATATGCCTGTGAATTCCTTTTAATAAAATTGTTATGCTGTTGCTAATCTATCATGAGTATTTCTTACCATTAACGCCACTTTTTTTTTTTAATATTCGAACATTTGTCTGCGAGCCAGATGCAGCCATCAATAGAGCCACATCTGGCTCGCGAGCCATAGGTTCCCGACCCCTGACCTAGATGAAAGGAACATTTTTGTAGACGGCCTATATGGCCCAGACGAGGTAAAAGGCATAGTAAGTAATTCAGTTGCCTTTCCCCATAACTTTAAACGACAGTCAGCCCAAACACTTCCTCATCGAACTTCCACGATGCTGATAAAAAGGGAATGAGTGATTCGCACTAAGCTCGAAGACTGATTATACCAACGGACAACCGTAGGATATGGTTGGTTTGTTGTTGTTGTTTTGGCCACACAGTAACCGAATCAGTTACTGAGATGTGCGACGACACAATGAGATGTGCATCATTGACGTGTGACAAGACACAGTGAGATGTGCAGCATTGACGCGTGACAAGACACAGTGAGATGTGCAGCATTGACGCGTGACAAGACACAATGAGATGTGCAGCATTGACGTGTGACAAGACACAATGAGATGTGCAGCATTGACGCGTGACAAGACACAATGAGATGTGCAGCATTGACGTGTGACAAGACACAGTGAGATGTGCAGCATTGACGCGTGACAAGACACAATGAGATGTGCAACATTGACGTGTGACAAGACACAGTGAGATGTGCAGCATTGACGCTTGACAAGGCACAATGAGATATGCAACATTGACGTGTGACCAGACACAATGAGATGTGCAGGATTGACGTGTGACAAGACACAGTGAGATGTGCAGCATTGACGCTTGACAAGACACAATGAGATGTGCAGCATTGACGCTTGACAAGACACAATGAGATGTGCAGCATTGACGTGTGACAAGACACAATGAGATGTGCAGCATTGACGTGTGACAAGACACATTGAGATGTACAGCATTGACGTGTGACAAGACACAGTGAGATGTGCAGCATTGACGCGTGACAAGACACAATGAGATGTGCAACATTGACGTGTGACAAGACACAGTGAGATGTGCAACATTGACGTGTGACAAGACACAGTCAGATGTGCAGCATTGACGCTTGACAAGACACAATGAGATGTGCAACATTGACGTGTGACAAGACACAATGAGATGTGCAGCATTGACGTGTGACAAGACACAATGAGATGTGCAGCATTGACGCGTGACAAGACACAATGAGATGTGCAGCATTGACGCGTGACAAGACACAATGAGATGTGCAACATTGACGTGTGACAAGACACAATGAGATGTGCAGCATTGACGCGTGACAAGACACAATGAGATGTGCAATATTGACGTGTGACAAGACACAATGAGATGTGCAGCATTGACGCGTGACAAGATACATGAGATGTGCAGCATTGACCTGTGACAACACACAATGGAATGTGCAGCATTGACGCTTGACAAGATAGATGAGATGTGCAGCATTGACCTGTGACAACACACAATGAAATGTGCAGCATTGACGCTTGACAAGATACATGAGATGTGCAGCATTGGCGTGTGACAACACACAATGAAATGTGCAGCATTGACATGTGACAAGACGCAGGTAATACATGTCACCTGGTCCCGTACCTCACCCACGCATCAAACGTAACCCCACTCTTGTCATGAAACTTTTTTTTTTTCAAATTTATCTTGAACCGTTACATTTTGATACACTTATGCCGATATTTCTTGGGACATTGTCTTTGTTATTTTCCAGGGAAAAGATAACAGTGTTTATTCTAGGCGACTGGGTAGTGTTCCGGCTGTATAATGTCCTGGGTAGTGTTCCGGCTGTATAATGTCCCGGCGCCGGCTTTCCAATGATTTGTTACGGTTTATATAAATAACGGGGGGGGGGGGGGGGGGGGGGGGGGGGGGGGGGGGGGAAAAAAAAAAAAAAAAAAAAGGGGGGTGGTCGCAAAACAAAAATAAAAAAAGTGTGGGGGGGGGAGGGGCTTCAACAGGAAGCCCTGGATGTTTCAAAACTGTCTTAATGTGGTCTTTGATAAACCGCACGGTCGTTTGTTTCCAAGACTGTCTTCATAGGGTCTCTGTCACGCCATTTAATTCTACCCATGCACTTAAATATTTTTTAAAAAGTTTATGCTCTCAGTAAATGAAAAAGTTTAATACGGCCATGTTTTGAAGATGAATTAATCGATGAGTCATGGACGAGTGACCGCCAGCGTGCGGATTTCGCCTATTGTTTTTTTGAAATAAAAAAAACCAACAACAACTTGACCAACGCATCTGATATCAATAGAATGCCCACCTGCACTTGGATAAGTGTGAAATAACGCACAACAGGAATTTTGATGAACTAATTAAAAAAAAACAGCAGTGGCCAAACGAATATTTAAGTATGAACCGAGTATCTGAAGGGAGTCAAACGATACTTTGTGTGTGTGTACAACATGTCCAAGTGTGTAACTGGGATGGTGTTGGACAGCAGGTTCATTTGAGTAACTGGGATGGTGTTGGACAGCATGTTCATTTGAGTAACTGGGATGGTGTTGGACAGCATGTCCAATTGTGTAACTTGGATGGTGTTATACAACATGTCCAATTGTGTAACTTGGATGGTGTTATACAACATGTCCAATTGTGTAACTTGGATGGTGTTATACAACATGTCCAATTGTGTAACTTGGATGGTGTTATACAACATGTCCAATTGTGTAACTTGGATGGTGTTATACAACATGTCCAATTGTGTAACTTGGATGGTGTTATACAACATGTCCAATTGTGTAACTTGGATGGTGTTATACAACATGTCCAATTGTGTAACTTGGATGGTGTTATACAACATGTCCAGTTGTGTAACTTGGATGGTGTTATACAACATGTCTAATTGTGTAACTTGGATGGTGTTATACAACATGTCCAATTGTGTAACTTGGATGGTGTTGAATTGCTAACATGTTTGAAACCTTCTCAAACTTTCATGGGTCACTTAATTTTGTTTACCTGTAATTATTTGCCAACTAGCATTGGTTAAAAAAAAATAAATTACCGTATTGACGTGGTGTGTTTAAAAAACAACAACTATTATTTTATATTCAACTAGATGGTACGTCATGTGGTGTCCATCTCCAATTCCAGCAGCGGTCGGGGCGGTGCTGCGACAATGAACAAATAATATAATAGACGCCCCAATAAAGGCAATGCAAAGTATGGGCCAACACGCGTCTCAACATACAAAACAACAACAACAACAACAACTTGCTGTTGGTTTGATCTCAGGAAAGAACGGTTATTTGCAATAACAGGGTGGGCAACTCTGACGCCATCGAGTTAATGTGGGTTGTATACGTGGCAATAAATCTGCTTTTTGATTTGCTCCAGTCCTTCTCGTGTGTCATTCAAATTACAGGACCGTCTATCTCGGGGGGAGCCATTAGTGTCACAGCACCGCCGTTGTGGTTCATTCAAGCTGCAGTGCCGTCTGAATCGTTTGGACAGGGTTGACGTAGATTGGTAGGAGTAACGATGTTCTTACCCCTCATCAATCTTGTACAGAGTAACATGGAGTATACAAAGGACCGGTGTCATTACGTAACTTCATTTCCCCAAGTTCTTTTTACGCAGGCATTCATATTTGTTCTCATTCAGCCTCCACTATTCAGATGAAATTTCATTTTTTTTTTTTAACTGCATGTCTTTTCAATATTCTTATTTGCCTTTTCAACCCACAGTGGAGTATACGCCATTAAAAATTTCTTTCCAAGCCTTCCGGACTCTTGCTATCCTTTCCAACTCTTTCCAGTCTTTATTACATCCTTGTCGTACTGTCTTCGCCTGGTGTTTTTCGGTCTTCATCTTCCTCTTGATCATTGAGTGTTCCATACCAGTCCGTGCTTGTCTAGCGCTAACAACAAGTAACTCTGAAACAACAATTATTCCTCAGTAGAACATCTCCTTATTCACAATCACCTGGCAATACCTGGCATTATTTTTTTAAAAAAGCAAACACACACACACAAATAACAATCCTGTATTTTTAATTGTTTAAAAAGGTGTGTGTGTGTTTGCTCGTGTGTGTGTGTGTGTGTGGTGATCACGTGTTCATTGCACAACAAAAACAAATACAAGTGTAAAGTACAATCAAATGTTACAATGCTGCAAAGGCTTTTAAAACCTGCAATATTTGACCAGCTCTTGATCATTCGTTCTTTCGGCTTTGTATGTAATTGGAAACGAGTGAAACAGCCTGAACATGTTGAGTTTATTGTCTTGCTGTGTTTGATCTCAGACAGCACATTTGTTTATTATAGGTTTATTAGTCACATGTTCAGCACGCTGTGGTGACCTTTAGTAAATTTCTCATTCCCTACCGACGACGAGGGAACATGTTCCCGCGCGTTGACATTCTAGTTTAGCCCTCTGATGGGCGCGTGTGTGTGTGTGGGGGGATGAGGGGTGGGGTGGGGGTGACTTGGTAGTCTGGTACAGTGCACGATAAAGAGGGGCGCACATCTCGTAGTGTTTCCCCAACTGTTACATGGTCGTGATTCTTGATGCTAGACTGTGGGGGGTGACTTGGTAGTCTGGTACAGTGCACGGTACAGAGGGGCGCACAGCCCGTAGTGTTTCCCCAACTGTTACATGGTCGTGATTCTTGATGCTAGACTGTGGGGGGTGACTTGGTAGTCTGGTACAGTGCACGGTACAGAGGGGCGCACAGCCCATAGTGTTTCCCCAACTGTTACATGGTCGTGATTCTTGATGCTAGACTGTGGGGGGGTGCTCAAGGTGTCAATGTAACATCAGTTATTATGAAGGTAAAGAATTTTTCTTTTCGTTTTCGGAACGTTTCGGTCAGAGCCTGAGAGAGAGCGCATTGTCCAGCGGCCATTTTCGGGGGGGGGGGTGTTTCTTGTTTTGTTAGATCAGTGGTTCTCAACCATCCTAATGTCGCGACCCTTTATTACAGTTCCTCATGTCGTGGCGACCCCCAAACAAAATATTATTTTCGTTGCTACTTCATAACTGTAGAGTATATGTTTTCTGATGGTCTCAGGCGACCCCCAGGTTGAGAACCGCTGTGTTAGATGAATAAATTGAAACTCCGAAAAGCTAAATTACCATGTACGTTGGAAAAAAAGCGGGGTTGGAGAGAGGGGTAATAAGATTCAGATATAGACTAGTGCTCGGCGAAGTCACTAGTTTAGACTAGTGCTCGGCAAAGTCACTAGTTTAGACTAGTGCTCGGCAAAGTCACTAGTTTAGAATAGTGCTCGGCAAAGTCAATAGTTTAGACTAGTGCTCGGCAAAGTCACAAGTTTAGACTAGTGCTCGGAAAAGTCACTAGTTTAGACTAGTGCTCGGCAAAGTCACTAGTTTAGACTAGTGCTCGGCAAAGTCACTAGTTTAGAATAGTGCTCGGCAAAGTCAATAGTTTAGACTAGTGCTCGGCAAAGTCACTAGTAGACTAGTGCTCGGCAAAGTCACTAGTTTAGACTAGTGCTCGGCAAAGTCACTAGTTTAGACTAGTGCTCGGCAAAGTCACTAGTTTAGACTAGTGCTCGGCAAAGTCACTAGTTTAGACTAGTGCTCGGCAAAGTCACTAGTAGACTAGTGCTCGGCAAAGTCACTAGTTTAGACTAGTGCTCGGCAAAGTCACTAGTTTAGACTAGTGCTCGGAAAAGTCACTAGTTTAGACTAGTGCTCGGCAAAGTCACTAGTTTAGACTAGTGCTCGGAAAAGTCACAAGTTTAGACTAGTGCTCGGCAAAGTCACAATTTTAGACTAGTGCTCGTCAAAGTCAATAGTTTAGACTAGTGCTCGGAAAAGTCACTAGTTTAGACTAGTGCTCGGAAAAGTCACTAGTTTAGACTAGTGCTCGGCAAAGTCACTAGTTTAGACTAGTGCTCGGCAAAGTCACTAGTTTAGACTAGTGCTCGGCAAAGTCACTAGTCAAAAGAGCCAAAAATCAGCAGCGGGACGATCAAAAAATTTTGAGAGCCAAATTTCTTGTTAAGAACTTGCGGTGGCTCGTGAGCTGCACACAATTTTCCGACCACTAGACTGTTATATTTATTTTTTTACGACTATTGTACATGTTGTTGTAAAGTCATATTTATTTTAATCATATGTACTATTAAAATGATTGTGTATAAAATAAGTGTGTAAAATTTGCGACCTCGGTATTACTTATGTAGCAACTAGCCGAGTTTGACCAGAAGTGTAGCTTAGGGGGCCAGAAGGGGAAAGATGCCCCCCGGGCGCCAGACTAGCTGGGGGGTGCGCCAAAATGGGCGTGGGTGGCATTTTATTGATGAGGGGTTAGAGTTGAGAGGGGTGTAAAAATGAATCCTGTCCCCTGGCGACAGACACTCTAGCTACGCCTCTGTGAGAGTCGCAGTTTTGCTCTTGCAACTTTTTGTCTTCCACTCGCGCGACGATAACTTGAACTTTAAAAAATTACTCCCACACAAAACACAACCCCCCCCCCCACCCACCAACCCCCCCTCCCCTTTCAAATAATAAAACAAAAACCAAGGAACAAATACAGCGCAAGTGTATAAATGTACGTACAGCCATTATACAGCAATTTAAACGGAGTCTCGAAAACCGTGTTAAGAAGTACGTCACAGGTTTTCTCCGTTGTCCGGTTGGTGTATAAATACACAACAACGACGAGGGAGATAGAGGGGAGGGAAAGATGAGGGAGGTAGAGCGTGAGGGAGAGAGAAGAGAATTAAACAAACCCTAAAAACAATAGATTTATTTCCCCAACTGTTGCAGAAAACAAAAGCAACTATTACGCACTACGCACCAAACAAACGCATATCAATAATCTCATTTAGCGCGGCTATCGGGAGAATTTTAGTTCGTGAAATCGGTCATCATGTTTCCTTCATGTTCCCCTTGAAAAACAGATTTTTGGTGGGGTGGGGCTGAAAATTAGATAGAACATTTTGTCATTGGCAAAGATCTCCGTGCCAAGTTTCAGCTTGATAGGTTGACGGGAAGTGGGTCAATTTGCCACCCAAATAGAAAGAAACACAGACGAAAGCGAAGTTAAGATAAAGGATTTTTAAAAAAACCGTGTTAAAAAGTATGTTGTGTCCTATCAGTTGTCTGTCTGGTGTATAAATACAACAAGGATATATATATATATAACAATTGCGGGGCCCAGTCAGGGTAGGGATAAGGATAATTAGTGAAAATTAAGAATTTGTATTAGAAAATAAATTCGTCTTTGCATTTTATTAATTCTGTACTAAATACAAAATCACGATGAAATTAACTTCACTTTACGAGCCTTGCGTGTGGCGAAGTCATGCAGTACATCATCAAAATTCCTTTTCTTACATAGATCACGCTCAATAGCAAGAATTGCCAATTTGTTCAATCTATCTTCGTGAATTGTTGACCTCAAGTAATTCTTGATAAGGTTTAGGCGCGAGAAGCTTCTTTCACCAGATGCCACAGTTACGGGTATTGTTAAAAATATTCTGAGTGCAACAAAGTAGTTTGGGATTATAAGTTATAATGGTTTAATTTAATAATTTACACCTAGAATTAGCGCGGGGCCTATGAAAGTGCGGGGCCCACTGCGGCCACATAGGTTGCAGTGGCCTAAGGCCGGCCCTATATGTATGTGTCATCTTTTTTGGGTTAGTTACAAATAATGCTTCACATTTTATGCATCGATGGCAGGACAAGGTGCCTAACACGTAGGTCTTGGAAATGCAAAAAATGTGTAGCATATAATCCGCTCTTAGAAAGAGGTGCCTTTGCTGATTAGGCCATGTATGGAGAATGAAGGAAGGTCGTATTCCAAAGGATTTGCTGTATGGAGAGTTGGCAGAAGGGACAAGATTTATTCTCGCACTTTTTGCACATCTCACCATTTTAATGGCGGCTTCCATTGATAGTTCATGGTTTTTTGTCATTTTATAGCAATTTTTTGTACCTGGTGACCCATATCAATGTTAAAAAAATATGTGNCCCCCCCCCCCCCCCGCTTCCCCATCTTTACTTTACTCTATATAACACAACCTACTGTTGTGCTAGTTTGAGCCGATTGTTTGAGCTATGGTGAAATAATAAAAAAAAACCCGTGTGATTTGAGTAAGCAAATGTTGTAAACTTATTATAATAGTTTTATTAATATATACGGGTATTGACAGAGAGTAATGGAATTTAACATGGCCACGCCAATGGCATTGGCATGACGTTGATTCTTTACAAAAAGGTGTGCAAGGACCAATGGGTTAAAACTTTCAATCTTGAAAAGACCAAAGAGTCTGTATTCGATTACGTGACGCACATTGACAGGGCGTTGCTTGGCGCCATCAACGGGGTGCCCTTTTTGGTCTCGTGGGGGAGGGGGGGTATATATTTCATGTTTCTTAATCTGTCAATGAAAGCCTTTCGTGGCAGGCGTGAGTTTTGTTGTTGTTTAATTAACCGAAACATTGCTTCATACGAGCATACAGTTTATTGATTACCCCCCTACGCAAACATCGATAAATAAATTCAAGCCACAATGACGTTAAATAATCCATGAGCCAAGAGCTTCCCAAATTTTAACAGCTTGCAGACTTCCTGGAGGCAGTTATAATTATCTGCGGTAAACTTCAGGCCGTCAATATTTTATCAACAGTTGAAAACTCGATGGACATTTGTAGAAGTTAACATTTAGCTCAGCGGTCTTAGTAAATGGTCCTTACACACAATGTCCTGGTCCTGGGTGTCTGAGGTATAACAATACTAACATAGCAATTTGAAATTAATGTTGCTCTTAAGGTAATTTTTATTTACATTATATTTTTATGCATTTTAATTTTTTTTTTTTTTAAACTTTGGTTTGAATTTGACGTAGAGCAGTATTGTTGTAGAGCAGAATTGTTTTAGAACAGAATTGTTTTAGAGCAGTATTGTTGTGGAGCAGTATTGTTGTAGAGCAGTATTGTTGTAGAGCAGTATTGTTGTAGAGCAGTATTGTTGCAGAGCAGTATTGTTGCAGAGCAGTATTGCTGTTGAGCAGTATTGCTGTTGAGCAGTATTGTTGTAGAGCAGTATTGTTGTAGAGCAGTATTGTTGTAGAGCAGTATTGTTGTAGAGCAGTATTGTTGTAGAGCAGTATTGTTGTAGAGCAGTATTGTTGTAGAGCAGTATTGATGTTGAGCAATATTGCTGTTGAGCAGTATTGCTGTTGAGCAGTATTGTTGTAGAGCAGTATTGTTGTAGAGCAGTATTGTTGTAGAGCAGTATTGTTGTAGAGCAGTATTGTTGTAGAGCAGTATTGTTGTAGAGCAGTATTGATGTTGAGCAATATTTTTGTAGAGCATTATTGTTGTACATCTGTATTGTTGTAGAGCAGTATCACAAATAAATAATACTCATTGATTACTACTAGCTGTTGCTTAACTAAATCTAGAGTATAAAAGGGGGGAAAGGGGGGGGGGGCGCCAGTGTGTGGGTAATTGACTTAAAACAGAACTACACACTTGTATCTTAATGTTATAACTGGGGGGTTAGTGTGTAGGCAGTTGACCTAAGTCAGAACTACACACTTGCATCTCCATGTAAGTCAGTTGCCTTGATTGGCCTAATTTGTATTGTACATATGTTGCCATGTTATTGTTTACATTTCAAATTATATTCGACATTTCCAAATCCAAGCTAGTATTTGAACAAAGTTTTTTTTTTTAAATATATATAATCCACTTGTTCACAGATGTTGCAGGAATCAAAGGAACCTGATCTCACTTCATCCATGTCTTTATTTTTACCACATTTGTGTGTCTCAATTTTGCAAGGTGAGAAGATGCCATCTTGGTGTGGGGGGAAAGGGGGGGGGGCATTTGTGAGTAGTAATACAAAAAGGTATCTAAAGGCCATCAGCTATTTAAAGTAAGTGGCAAAAATGAATCAATCAGCATGGAGCCTTATTGAAGACAAAAGAAAGTAATGAGCAACTCTGCCTTTGACAGTTTCAACTTATCAGGCTGGCCAGAGAGGGCACAAGCCAGCACTGTAGAGAGTGATGCATATAAATGTCACCTGTTTGTATGATGTAATTTTTATTTAAATGGCACGAAATGTCTACGGATCGAATAATTAACAAAATCAATGTGCGTGTGTGTGTAAATCGCTATAAAATATTTAAATTCTTTTTTTTTTTATATTTTTTTTTTTTTAAGGTCCATCCTTTGTTTATGCAGAGTGCTAGCGGCCCTTGCTGCCACCTTGCCTGAAAATTTTATAAGACCAAAAGGTAAGTCCAGTGTGAAAGAGTTGTCGAATGCCTAATGATTGGAGATTATGTGTAAATCGCTATAAAATATTTAAATTTTTTTTTTTTTTATATTTTTTTTTTTTTAAGGTCCATCCTTTGTTTATGCAGAGTGCTAGCGGCCCTTGCTGCCACCATGCCTGAAAATTTTATAAGACCAAAAGGTAAGTCCAGTGTGAAAGAGTTGTCGAATGCCTAATGATTGGAGATTTATAGGTTGTTGATTTATCTGTCAAATGGCTCCCTTCACTGTCAGGTTCAATTAAGCACTGATGTTTCTAAAAGCTCTCTTTGCGATCAGGTTTTATTAAGTACAGGCAAAAAAAGAAATGAATTCTATCAGTCAGCAAAGCTGGTTAATATTTTTTTCTTGGATTGGGTTACAGAAAGTGATATGAGTGATATGTCTAGTGGCACATTACCAGGAAGATGAGTTAATTTCATTCAAAAAAATAAGAACGTCTATAAAAACAACTTTCAAGACTGAATGTTTATAATAATTGAGATTTTTTTTTCCCCTCAGCACAATCCAAGGATGACATTAGGCGTGTGCCCCCCATACCAAGTCAGTCTTTAGATCTGTCACTGTTGACTGAGCAGGAAGAGAAGATCATTCAAGCAGTCATTCAAAAGGATGAGCTGGAGAGAAGCTACCTTGATGCCAAGATCAGGTAAATATATATGAAAGTCAATGAATTGGTTTATAAGTCCAAGAAAGTAGCAAAAATATAAAAAAAAGGGCAGGCTACACTGCGCGGGGCACTTAGAAATAATGCAAAGTGACACAGGAGTGAAGAAGGTGCACCACCAAAACCACGGAGGAAAACGGCTCAAAGGCAGACCCAGTCTTGGATGGATGGATGATGTGGAAAATGGCCTACAGCAGCTGGGAATTCAAGCATGGAAAAGAAAAGCATTGATGAGGTCTGAGTAGAAGGATGTGGTGAGGTGCATGGGCTGTAGCGTCACTGGGATGGATAAGTCAAAGAAAATGAATGGCTGTATACAAAAATGTCTTGTATTGCATGGGCGCTTTTGGGGTCAAGGAAAATGATGTTGGTGAAGAATTCTGGGTTTGAACAAATCTGATGTTATCGCTAATGGGGGCCATTGCTAGCTTTGTCTTCATAGAATAAAATAATAAGCATTAAAATTGGACTTGGTTGTTTGTTATAATATTAATAAATAAAAGTGGTGGGTGGCCGAGCGGTCTAAGCTGAGTCAATCACAAGCTTGTGGACTGGAGTTCAAATCCCCAGCGAAAGCATAGGCATGCACATAAAAAAAACGACACAAAAAACATCCCGGATGGATGGGACTGGTTAACCTTGGATGGCGACTCATTTAAGAGAAGGCAGAGTCTATCAAAGCCCAATAGGGCGGTATGACATTGACCAAAAAATAGCTCAGTGAAACACATATAAAAACACTGCTGACCATCTACTGCATCCTGGTCTATATCCAGTCGTCTTGACCAAGTCTTACCATAGGATCAAATAGGCAACAACGAGAGAGTGAGGCCAACGAATTGAGCAACTCTCCCTCACTTTGAACAAAATGCAGCTCAAGTCGAGGCTACTACTTAAGCCTTGGTCATCCTGGCTTGCAAAGGATGAACAATATATGATATTAAAAACGATAACAATGTTAATTACAAGGAGAAGCTGTCTCTGTTTTTTTGATAAACTTTTAATCAAAGCACATTACAAAATAGTAATAGGTACATAAAAGTAACAGTTTTATTTATTTGTACATAAAAATGAAGGCAAATATTTGATTTATAAAACACTGCATTGGCCTATTTTGATAGCATAAATGCTCAAATACTTCATAAGATAGGAAACCAAATTACATGTCCTGAAGATTATTACCAACGATGTTAGTTCACGATCAGGCAAGTTAAACTCTTCATTCACAGTGAAATCAGAAAAGAAATACAAGAGCTGAGGAAAGCGGGAGCATTGACCTCTGGTGACGACCAAAACGCAATCTGCGCCCGATGCAAGTACAAGTTTCCATCGTTTATCATGCCGCTGGCTGACCACGGACAGCGGTGCGTCACCTGCAAGTTCAGAGTTTGCAAAAAATGCAGTACCAGAGAGCTTAGTGGAATGTGGGTCTGCATCTTGTGCTTCAAATACAGGTAGATTGCAAACACCACCTTTTTTGTTAATTGCTTTAATGTGCGTCGGAAAGCTCTTTAATCGGGGAAGGGTCGTGTTTAAAAATTAATCAATGGTTAGTGGGTTAGTAAAACAACAAGTAAAGTTAAAATACAAAAGCTGGTGTATTTCTAAATAATAGATCTATAAAACACCCCAGAAGTTGAATATCAAATATATAAAATAATTTTTCCTTTTTTTTTTAAAACTGTTAAACTATATTCAAATATTTAAAACCTATTTCCAGGACACAAAGATTTGTATGGGAAAGGGAAAAAAGTCTTTAAAAATCTTTAGCACAATGTAGTTTTAATTGGACATTGGTGGCTGTAGATCTGAACATCTTTGATTGGCCAATGGATGGCTGTAGATCTAGACCTTTGATTGGCCCATTGATGGCTGTAGATATAGATCTTTGATTGGCCGATTGATGGCCGTAGATCTTTGATTAGCCAAAAGATAATTTTGTCTTCTAGCTGTAACTGGAGACTGACTCACTAAGAGACAAACTCTGCTTTAACTTTCAGTCAGGAGAAGTGGTTAACCGGAGAATGGCTGTCTAAAGGAGAAGCTATTGGCCTGCAGGGCTCCGATCTTTTACGGGTGTCATTACGGGATAGAAGTAAGTCTTTCTGTGCTCATGTTTGTGTGCCGAATCTAACACACGCTTAACAAATTTTATAAGCTTTCAGTCTAAAATATATACAAAAATAACTGGTGTAGACAACTCTTCTTATTTTACTTTTGCAGTAAGTAACAGTGAATGATCTTCCTTGATGACTCAACATCTGGTTCTAAATTTAAGCTAGTAAAATTTCAAAGATGTCATTTCTATACCCTTTGACTGTACACATTAGATTATAATATTCCCCTATTCTTTCTACACATCTTCATCAAACAATATTTCTCATGAAGTAATGTACAAATCTATTAAAATATTTGTTGAAAAACTACCAAATACAGTCATTTTGCACATTTTGCTATAAATTCATAAAATTAACCCCCCCCCCCCCTTATAATCTTTCTTGAGTTATTTAAGAACCATTTCTAAACAGAGATCATAGATATGGCATAACATTTTGTTCCACAACCACACTAAAACTCAAATCTGAAGCACAACTACCCATGAGAATTTCTTTTCCTGTCAGTTTATCATTCATCATGCACCAGCTATTCATGCACAGGAAAAGGACGGCATCGATAAATGTTGGTGAAATATTTTGTTGATGGTTGTTGTGTTAAGTGTCTTCCCTGTCACCACTGTTTGCTCTTGTTGACTTGTTTGTTTGTTGTCATCTTTTTATATTCCTGTCTTGACTTAGGCTTTCTCTTTTATTTGCTATGGAGAAGAAAAAAAAGGATTTCTTGTAAATATGGGATTCTACTCTTTAAAAAAAAAAAAATTATATTAAGTTATAGTTAACAAAACAATTGATTTGTATGGGCTACATGTCAAAATAAAGCATTCCGTCGAGGCACACAAGGAATAATCATGTAACATTCCACATGTCAGTGTGATGTCCTGATGCTGTCATTTTTAAGCTCACTTGCTTCTAGTAAACAAATGTAACATCATCTTTTTTGTTTTGGTTTATTGGTACATAGAGTTTAATCAAAAGAACACCGCAGTTATTGTTTTTTTATAAACATTTTTTACAATATTATTTTTTCCAAAATTTTTGTAACATATTTACCCAAACCAGATCATGGGTTGTTTGTTTTAGTAGATAATTCAAGAATATGAAGAGAGATGTATTGTTTGTATTTATGACTCATCGAGAATAGTTAGCAGGAACTGTTCACAGATCATCAGTGCCTTTGTCAACATTGTATAATCACTCAGTTTGAATTCTTGACTGTAATTTGTTTCATGATACATTGTTCAGGTCAGATCCATTCTTACCATGTTTCTGTGCACTGATGTTTCATTAATTAGAACTGCTTTGTTAGGTTCAAGGTGATTGTATTACATGTGTGTAACTAGATGCAGAGATATCACATGGGAATAAATTATGCCACCCATTTCAATAGTTAACGCCCTTGCATAATTCTTAGGTTCAAGCAGACCCTATCACAAGGTTGTTTTTTTTAAAATATAGGTGGGTTGGGGGTGTTGTGTTATCAGCGAGGACTCATTTTCATATAGGTCTTCAATTTCATAGGGATCTATAGCTTTAAAGATAAGCTAAAAACTTTCAAAATTTCAATATAAAAAAATTCTCATTGAAAGTAGTTAAGAAATGAAATTGAATAATTTATTCTTTTTGGTTCTAAAGTACGACTAAATGTGTCATTTCCTAACTAATTTTTTGGAATAATTTTATGTCAAGGGAGCTGGGATTTATGGAGCAACCCATGGGAAAAAGACATGAAGATTTGTGTGGAGAGTCTTTCCCTTGTTATTGATTCGGTGAAAGCTGGGTGTTAAGCTGAGCCAACTAATAATAAATGAAGTCATCTTAGAAGGGAGAGCTGTTTTATTATACATTATTGATTGGCGTAGATGAGGTCATGTAGCAGCTCTTCTTGGTTTTATCATCTTTGATACATGGATGGAAACTGACACTTGCCACATCAATGTATTCATGTTTTATAAGCTACCGTTTTTTAAAAGCAATTCTAGTTTGTTGATGGATCATGCTGTTGGTGTCCTCAGTAATATAAAAAAAACACTCTTTGCTGAAATTAACTTCTTTTTACTACAAAATTTGAAAAAAATGTTGCCTTTCCTTTATTCTGTCGTTGCGCTTGTACAATTTTCAAAAATTTTAATTTAAACTTTAAATTCCACGAATAAGAAAAATCCCCAGCTCTTTTCAAGGTATACATTTTTTTTTTTTTTTTGTGTTTTGAATAATTCAGTCTCAATTAGTTGAATATTAAATACTCTGAAGTGGAAAACGTGCAGGCGTTGACCAGCATGCTGTACATGTCCCAAAAACAATGGCTTTTTTTTTATTGTTACCGAAACACTTATTTTCAAGGTATTCATTTTTTTTTTTTTTTTGTGTTTTGAATAATTCAGTCTCATTTAGTTGAATATTAAATACTCTGAAGTGGAAAACGTGCAGGCGTTGACCAGCATGCTGTACATGTCCCAAAAACAATGGCTTTTTTTTTATTGTTACCGAAACACTTTGTAAGTGCTTGATGCGTTTGAGTTAACTGGCCTTCGGCCCTAAGGAAGTAGGAGGACAGGATATTAGTGAGCTTGAACTCTCTCCATTATGTCTTCTCCTATGGCTGTGAGCTGAAAAGTATGTTTTCATTTCTATTTCAAGGGAAGTCACATTTTTTTATTTTAAAAATTGATTGGAATTCAAGGTTAGTGTAACTTTGATGTGTCTGATAGGGTCTCACGTAGGAGAAGTTAATGAACTTAAAAACTGGCCAGCCCTCTGATAACTTTGATGTGTCTGATAAGGTCACGTAGGGGAAGTTAATTAACTTAAAAAACTGGCCAGCTCCCTGATGACATCCAACTGAATCACCAAGCTTTATGGTTAATTATTAATCTGTTCGACCTAATGCCACCTTGCTGGTGTTTCTGGGTCAATGAAACATCCATGTTTAACAGAATATCAAGGAAACACAATTACAGGAAAAGAAGAATAGTTCAGCTCAAGTTTCTTAATAGTTAAACTTACAAGACGCGCAACTTTTTATTTTATTTTTTTTTATTTTTTATTATTATTATTTTTTTTTTTTTTTTTTTTTTTTTTACAAAATTAAGGGGAAAAANTTTTTTTTTAAGCCCTTTTCAACTTTTTTTTTTTTTTTCCTATAAACCCCCCCCCCCCCCAACTCCATTTCCCCATCCCATGAAACTATCTGTGACTACTACAACAAAACTAAAATATGACTGAAGCCAGTGTTGTGTTTTAGGGGGTATGACCTGCTGGCCACAGCTGCAGTTCTACTATTTAGAATCCTGTTTAAATCTAACAAACAGAAGCATTGCTTGGCTTCTACCCCAGACCATGTCTCCAAACTTTAGCCCAGATACCTACAACAACAACACATTTTGTAAATATAATATTACAAGGTTCAATGCACCTTTAAAAAAACAAAACATTTTTTTCTTTCTTTTAGAATGTGTTAGTTTGAAAATGTTCACATTACTGTATGTGTGTAAGAACCTAACCTGCTAGTTTGAAAATGTTCACATTACTGTATGTGTGGAAGAACCTAACCTGTTAGTTTGAAAATGTTCACAGTGGTGTATATGAAGAAGAACTTTCTTCCACAAGTGACCTAAATGTGTTTCAGGGAGGATTTATTGTGCATATGATACAATCTTACAATATTTTGTCTCTTGTTTTTTTTTCTTCAAACCAGCAAAGAATGGCCTCCAGTTCACTTTTTAAGCATTTTCCTTTTTTTTTTTAAAAAAAAATGTTTGCTATCTGTGGATAAAGATTGTTTTTGTTATTTTTTCAGATCTTATCTCTATTTTAATAAGTATAATCTACACAAAAAAAAAAAAATTGATTTGATGCTTTTTTCCCCCCTCTTTTGTTTTTATTTTGGCATTACAAGCTACATCATCTGGAACTGGGGTTATATAAAGCTAAACCAACAGTGACGTTGATGCTTCGCCTCTGGTAACACAGTTTAAATTTCAATTTTTTATGTGCTACTTTCTGTGGGGCCAGCTGTTGTAGAAGTGTGTTTCCAAATCAGGTTTCTTCCCAGTAATATTTCCAACACTGCCCCACGACAGGTTCATGTGAAAAGCAGGTTATTTAATGATTAAGTGCATTATTCAGATAGCGCGATTTCGTCCACGAATGCGGGAATCTAGACATAACGAGGGCCATCAATCACTTTGAGCCAAAGACGTGATCTTCACAAATGTCAGAAATCAAAAAGGTGGTGCCAGCTGATGTGGAGTGTGTGGCTAGTGCTGGGATGGGCCCGTGTATCCAACCTATAATTGATTGGTCTGGTCTTAAGGTGGCCCAATTTACTGACCTCTTGTCCAACTGACAACCTCTCTATAAAAAGCATTTTAACTGTACCCACTCTTGTGCTGGACTTTTCACTTCATCTACATTTAAGGTAAATGATAGCTGCATGATCCTGAGCAAAATCAAATAAGTTTTAAGTGGGTTAATTAATATGCGCAGGCATGATCACATAATATGGCCTGAATGAGTGGGGGGGGGGGTCATGGGTTATAAGTCATAGGGGTTATAGGTTAAACAAATGACAACTAGCAGCCTGTTGTCATGTAACATGGTTGTCTTCTGACATGTATGTAGAATCTTTTATATAGAGGAGTTTTATTTTTTTAAACAATGCTCCTTAACTTTTGTAATAAGGATATTTTTAGTTGTTTACCTATTGTGATAGGCATATTTTTAGTTGTTTAAATATTGTGATAGGCATATTTTTAGTTGTTAAATGTTTTGATAGGCATATTTTTAGTTGTTAGATTTTGTGATAGGCTTATATTTGGTTGTTATAAATAGGGATAGGCATATATATATATATATATAGTTTATTAAATGTTTGTTAATATCATGATGATCCCTTTGGAAATGTTCGATTTATTAATATGATGATTTCCAGAGCGATCTCTTTTAGATTTTTAAAGAGTGAAACTCAAAGAAATGAAATAGTTATTGGATGCTGTGTTTGGGTAAAGATGAAAAGATAAAATTACTTTTGTTTAAAAATGTAATAGAAATTGTTTTTTTGGATGCTCATTTTGGGTAAAGTTGAAAAAAATCAAATTACTGTCTAATAGAATTGTAATATTCCTCTCTGATTGTGTAGAATTTCAAGAAACATTCTTATATTCTCATAATTTCTTCATGGGTCACAAGAAATATTTACGTTCTTAGGTGTGCTATGTTTCATTTGGTCAGCTTTTGACACCCCGGGAAAATAAATTAACTTTTCCCTAATTTATGCTAAATAAGTGCTGAAATTGTGGTAAAACTGTGTTTCAGTAACTGCAGACTGAAACGAAGCAGTTTACTGTTGCGCCATAACTGTTAGACTATTCCTTTGCACCTTGACTAGAATTGTTTATAAGGTGAAGCTATGGTTATTTCATCACCACTGAATTACGTCATTTTTTGGGGGGCAAAACTTTAATCAATTGTATAGTCACCATGAATTAATTGCTGCCGGCTCAAACAATGAACCTATTCATGACTTACACATCCCTCAGACTATGAATGTTGAAATATTTCTTGAATGTGGCACTGATACCTGATTGTTATAAGACTTTTATTCACCGCTTATATTTTATCTAGTGTTCAGTTCAGGCAGTCAGCATTATATGCTAATATAGTTTATGAATTTTCAAATATTCCCTCCAATTTAGGCAACATCAACAGAGCAAAATGCATGTTTTAAAATGTAATATCAAGTGTAGTGCTATACTATGTAAGGCATTAGTACCTGTGCAATATGTAACAATGATTCGTAAAGAATGTTTACTGTCCCATATCATATAATGTTCTGTAAAGGTAACTATCTCTGAACCTAAAATCAGGTCACTTGATCCTCTCCACTTTGCTAAACAGGATGTTGAATTATAAAAAAAATTATTTTTTTTGTGTGTAAATATTCTCACTTCTTCCATTCTACTTCCTTCGTAGGAATAAATGAGTGCAGACATTTGGACAAACTGTTAAAGTGTAACATTAGATAAAGCAACCCAAAATCTTGTACATGCCACGGTATCGGAATCAATACAGCCAACAGGTGTTGTACAATGATTCAGTTTTTCATTTAAGCATGGGGGGGGGGGGGGGGGAGGGGGGGGGGGGGGGGGGTGAAGAGATTTTCCTAACCACTATCTGTGAGGATTATTGATAGATGGCGAAACATGAGTTTCTTGTGGAGAATTATTATTTTATCAGGTAAACAATAACAGTAAAAGCTCCACGTGTCAAATATGTGTGTGCTTGTACATAGAGATATATAGATTTGAACCATCATGAGGCGCTTACAGACTTTATGTCAAAGATAATTTTCTGTGATGGCTAGTCAAGTTTAAATGAACTTAAAACTTGTTAATGATGGCTAGTGATGATTAAGTTTACTTCAGATTAAAACTTTTTTTGTATGTGGTAGCTTGTTAAATTGTACATTTTCCGTCATTATTTATACATGTCTTATATTATAAATGTTGCGGAAAAAAACAACTTTTCTTTCATGACTTTATTTATAATTGTTTTGAAAGCTTCCTAATTAATTCAAAGATCCCCTATGAGTCAGGCTTAGAACCACTGTTCTAGTGGTATTGTTTTACAGTGTTTGATTCTAGTTTCAATCATCACAAGTAAAAGCCTAGAATATAAGAGAAGATAAAATTCTTTTTTTTTTATCCAATAACTGGAAATGTTTTTGTTTTTTTAAAATTACAATGTACATATTTATTTTCAGCACATACATAAATATTCTTACTCAGAAAAAAGATTTTTGAACTAGCACAATTTAACACAAGACTTCTGCAGTATTTCTCAAGCACAAAATAATCAGTGGTCATGCAACTCTACTCATTTTTGTGACAATATTGACTTCAAGAGGAATTATTTTACATTCTGTAACAGTCCGGGGAGCACACTGGTAAATTCTGATAGATTGGGGAACAAATTAATCTTTTTTATCTTTCTGAAAGAGGGAAAGAACTCATCGTGATCTCAAGTATCTGTCATGCAGAAAGTGCGATGTATCCACCAAATTTTAATAATTTTTTACAAATGATTATTGCTTTAAATGGTTCTTCAAGTTCAAGTGAAGGTAATTTTGTTTGAGCAATATTGCTTGCTTTCTTGGTAAGACTATTTGATGAGTGTTTGATGAGAAGCAATGAATTCCCACATCAGCAAGTGATATTGGAGTTCAGTAGGCTTCAAACTGTTGCACTGTAGAATATGTTAATAATTTATTAACAACAAAATTGTGTAATTTTTTATGAAAGAAAAGTGTTCGATTCACATGTCCGCTTATTTATAATGTTTCACCTGGAAATGGGTTATTGACTGGAGATGTTTTGTCACAGACATTGTATAGAAAATATCTGTGTGATAAATGAAATGATAGCTTGGGGGACCCATCAATTCAGGTTTGGCTGTCTCTGTGGCCATGGAACAAGGAAATGCTGATGGTTGTTATAGATTTATTTGACATGTATACAACCAGACTTGACAATGATTCGATGTTGAGTGTGAGAACTGGTGAACGGAGGCAGGTTGGGACTGAGCTGGGTTGAGACTGAGGTTAAGATTGAGTTGAGATTGAGGTGAGTTGAAATTGAGGTGGGTTGAGATTGAGGTTGAGATTGAGGTGGGTTTAAATTGAGGTGGGTTGAGATTGAGGTGGGTTGAAATTGAGGTGGGTTGAGATCGAGGTTGAGATTGAGGTGGGTTGAAATTGAGGTTGGTTGAGATTGAGATGGGTTGAAATTGAGGTGGGTTGAGATCGAGGTTGAGATTGAGGTGGGTTGAAATTGAGGTTGGTTGAGATTGAGGTGGGTTGAGATTGAGGTGGTTTGAGATTGAGGTTGAGATTGAGGTGGGTTGAAATTGAGGTTGAGATTGAGGTGGGTTGAGACTGAGATGGGTTGAGATAGAGGTGGGTTGAAATCGAGCTGGGTTGAGATTGAGGTGGGTTGAGAAGTTTTAGGGAAGTGATTCTTAAGATGAGATGAAGATGGGTTGAGATTGAGGTGGGGTGAAATTGAGGTGGGTTGAGATTGAGGTGGGTTGAGATTGAGGTGGGTTGAGATTGAGGTGGGTTGAGATTGAGGTGGGTTGAGATTGAGGTTGGTTTAAATTGAGGTGGGTTGATATTGAGGTGGGTTGAGATTGAGGTGGGTTGAGATTGAGGTTGGTTTAAATTGAGGTTGATATTGAGGTGTGTTGAGATAGAGGTGGATTGAGTTGGAGGTGGGTTGAGATGGAGGTGGGTTGAAATTGAAGTTGATTGAGACTGAGATGGGTTTGAGACCTAGGGGGTTGAGAGGGAAGTGGGTAAAGGCTGAAGTGGGTTTAGATTGAGATTCAGGTGGGTTGAGAAGGAGGTGGGTTGGGACTGAGTTGGGTCGAGATTAAGACGGATTGAGATTGAGGTGGGTTAATTTAGATGGGTTGACTGAGGTGGGTTGAAAGGGGGGTGGGTTGAGATTGAGGTTAGGTAAAGAAGGAGCTGGGTTTTAATTGAGGAGCTTATCTTTGTCAATAAATAAATCAATAGGCAGGATTGCATCGCTTATTCACACAGTAATCAGACTACAGGGTGGTTAGTTTAAATAACTGCTGCTTTAAAACGGGTTTTGTGGTTGGGGGTGGGGGAGGCTTTGTTGACCAATAATGCTGAAGATTTACATTTGATAGTGGTACTTGTGCCGTGGTCATTGACTGGGACTTGGCCATTCCAACAGTGGCGACACACTACATAATGGCTCACTCCTCTAAAATAAAATAAAAAGTTACATCATGTCATTAAGGAGGTTGATGGATTTGTTTTGATGGTAGTGAGCTACATAGATGAATGCTCCTTTGTTGTTAGATTTGTTTGTGTGTTTGCTAATTCCTTCAACATTACTTGTCATTTATCATAAATTCTCTTTTTTAAAAGTTTTGAGGATTTTGAACATTTTTTTCAAAAAGACCTTTATACTTAGCATACATTGCATTTGCTTTCTGCATTACATGGGGTATTGAGCCCCAGTTTGAGGATCATTGCTGTAGATTCCAACTGTGAGGTAATGGGTTGAGTGGGTGTGGATTATTTCTGCATCATGTTGTTTGAGAGTGGGTTGGGAGGGGGGGAGGCGAGGGTGTAGTAGGGATAGGGGCCTTAAGACTAGACCTGACTCCAGCTTGTAGAGTTTGTGAGAGGGCTGACCAGCAGCTGTGCTCTACTTGAAACACTATTGATCATCTATGTTATACACAACCAGGGGACGCAACTCTATTGGCTGAATCCAACCACAGTTGTGGGACATTGATAATCTCCAACAACACAGGCTGTAGAGTTTATTGCACATTGGCAAAACAAGCTTGACTTTTTTTTTTATTGTAGATTCATGAGTTAAGTATTTTATAATGGAACCAACGGCACTCGCTCTGAAGGTGGAGACTCTTTGTTTGTGTGAATAGCCTGAAGCTATTGGATTATTGGACTTTGTGGATATTGGCCAGTTGAGAAAACTGATAGGATTGGTGTGTGATTTCATAGAGACTTATCCAGAGAAACTGGAAGAGACACAGATTTTGGAGCTTGTTTCATCACTGTGGATTAAACTCATTGTGTTGATCTTGTGATTGATCAACACTTTGTCGATAGTAGAAACAGTCTCATCCCGTTTCCTTGTTTCCCCTCCTCCCCTGTGCATTCTGTCACAGAGATGTGGGCCATTCTCTGCTGCCAAGGTAAGTGGAGAGCTTTAAAAGTGCTATTTAATGAAAGCTGATTAAATAAAGATGTGTTTTTTTTTCCTTTAACTGAATTATTCATCTCTTGTTGAGACACATAAATTATAGACCCCAGTTGTTATCTCTCAGTGTTCAACTTGAGCCAAATGACTTCGTTGTAATCATTTATAAGAGGGTGGTCCCTGTATTGAGAATATGGTCATTTCATTGTTTCCGTGTTGGCTGGTGGGTTTCAAACTGGAATTGAAATCTCTTACTTAATGATAGGTAAATAGTTGCACCACACGGCAGAAGTCTGGTCAGTTGTGATACTTGTGCTAGAGGCACCAACTTCTATCCGTATTTATTAGTATGTTTACATAGTCCCCTGCTTTCTTGTGACCAGCAGACTGTGATACAGTCTTTTGGGTAACAGAAAAAGACATCAATATTTTTTAGCGAAAGTGTGCCTACTTGTAGAAGAAAATGTTAAAGGGATCGATGAAGGAACTGAATTAAAGCTCAGTAAATTGTGCAGGGTACCAGATTAACCAGACACAATTTGTGTCAGTAAAACAATATATGTTCAGCTTTAATGGTGATTTTTGTAAAGCCATCATTAAAGGTGCACATACATTGTTTTACATGCACAAATTGTTTGTGTCTGAGTAATCTACTTTGAAGCTTTATGGCAGTCCGACACTCTTATGCAGGTTAACACAGTGGTTGCTCTTGAGAAATAATTGCATGCTTCTTTGTTAAAATGAGCACAAATGTGTTGCCCATAAATGTTAAATTTTTCATTCCTTCATTTTTGTATCGTGAGCTATGAGCGTTTTATGTTGGATCAAGATGACCACATTATGGTGCCTTTAATCGTATGTAGCATTATCCAATATTGAGCGTAGCTGGTCACGTTGTAATTATTGCTCATTTCAGCATATATTTTAAAAAATGAACAAGAAATGCGGGGAGTCAATAAATATTCAATACTTTGAATGCTAACAAGGAATGCGGGGAGTCAATAAATATTCATCACTTCGAATGCTAATCACATTTTAATACAATAGCTGATCCATTCATCTGAATATACAATGTACGAATAAACTGGCCAGGTGGAACATTTTTCTTATTCAAAGCCAGAGAGGCACACCATTCGGGCAGATTCAGTGATGAATTTCTGCCACAACCAGACATCACAGCTACCACTTCCTAATGGTATTATTGAAACACACCGTCACCTAAAGCTAACTGCTCTTATTGTCTACTTAAATGTCAGTTGTCATTCAAAACTTCACGTTAAATAATCTGCTTTGGTATTTTCTAAAATTTCTATCATGGGTGCACATTTTGTAAACTCATTTACGGAAATAATTTTGCAAATCATGTTGCCCATAACTAAAGTAATAATTCAACCCCTTTGGTCATTTTATTAATGGGTCTGTAGCAACCGCTGGGGTCATGCTCATTTTTTAATGAGTGTAGCTGCAAGCACTTGAGCTATACTCATTGGTTATCTGAGCCTAACTCACGGCTTGTCTGAGCTTAACTCACTGGTTGTCTGAGCTTAACTCACTGGTTGTCTGAGCTTAACTCACTGGTTGTCTGAGCCTGCCTCACTGGTTATCTGAGCCTGCCTCACTGGTTGTCTGAGCCCAACTCACTGGTTGTCTGAGCCCAACTCACTGGTTGTCTGAGCCCAACTCACTGGTTGTCTGAGCCCAACTCACTGGTTATCTGAGCCTAACTCACTGGTTATCTTTCAATCCTTTAGAAACAGCTCAATATAATTTGTATGTATGTAAACAACAGCCGAGGCAACTTTTGATGAAAGACCTTGTTCCAACTATGTTTTATTTTTGTTTTGTTATGCAGATTGCTCACTCAATAGTTTCTGCTTACCATCAAAGAGCGTGCAGTATGCAATCATTTGACTTTCTCAGTTCAAGCCGTTACTTAAATTAAAATCATTTGAAGATTTATTTGAACTTATGCATAAATTAGGATTAATCAACACTAAAGCTGTGCACATGAACTGGGGATTGCCAACAGGAATAAGATTGAATGACTTCTGTAGGCTTTCATCAAAGGGAACCAGATTTTTTTTTAAAATATTACATCTTGGGTTTATTGATAAAAGAATTAGACTGTTGGCTTACTAATGAAATGTTTTGGTGGTGTTTCATCTTAAAGTGGGTTGTTTTGTTTAGCCCAGCAGTTCATTGAGTTTGAGAAGTTGGTGCCTCTACACTTGTTTAGTATTGAAACTGAAGGCTGTAGAATGTAGTTAGTGGGCAAATACTAAATCTCTTGACCACATCAAGTTGGTGCCTTGTAATGAAATTGCGGGCATAAATTAAGCCCTCCTCAGCACAAGTTGGTGCCTTGTAATGAAGCATCATTGCCTCACAGGTCAGATCCACAAAGAGTACGATGACATAGACAGTGTCAACTACACCCAGAGGCCAGCCATATCAAAAGACGCTGACTCTGACTCACGCACCTCCAGAAACTCCCAGTCTAGCAATGATCAACCAGGTAACCCCCCCCCCCCCCCCCCCAGTTTTTTTAAGTAACGCCCTGCACCCAGTGGCAGAGTCATACCCTCCATCATACACTGTCTCCCCCCACCCCATCTGCTCACTGGAGAACTATAAATAATACCGTATCAGCACCTGTGACCTTATAAAATAATGAACTGTCAACGTCTTAAAAAATCTATGTTAGTTCAATATCCCACCTTACCAAGCCTGTTAATCTTTGATCAATACTATTTAACTTGAATCTAGCAAAAATAAATCTTCAAATCAGTCTGTATGAGAATTAAGGATTTGATTGTTGTTAACGTTTAAATTGATATTAATTTGAATATACATATAAAAAACAGGTTCCGCAATGAAAACCTATGTTGTCAGTCTTATCTCCTGCTATTGGTTTTACTTGATGAGCTTTCTTTTATTGAAACAGACTATAAAAAGCCTGCCCTAGGGTCTAGTATGTAAAGTATAATTTTACCTAAATTTGGCATATATATTATATGTATTCGGTCTTGTATTTTTAAATGGCTATCATTTTGCTTGAATGTATTCGGTATTATACACCAATAATAGTTGTTGTGCTTATTAATATACTGGGGGTCTTATCATTTGCTTTTGTCTTCTGTTAACAAACATATGCTTGCTTCTGACCAGTGGCATAACAAATTATGATTTATTTCATTTCATTTTTTAATATTTTTTTTTTGGAGTCCATTTACCAAAATATTTTGGGAGTAAAAACAGAACAAACTACTTTTATTTTAATTAAATACTGGTATTATTTTATTGAACAAGATAAGTGGATAAGAGTTGTATTTCTTGTAATGTGACATCCTACGGGTGGATGAAAGATCATCCCAATTGAAATAAGACTTAGGGACGAGTTAACCCACTCATTTTTATTTTTGCATCTTGACATATCAGGTTACTGTAAATACCTAACTTTGATAGAATTAAATTTTTTTGCCTGTCTGCTCTGAGCCTAGTTGTGTTAGCCTTGCCATCATCGCAGCCGCAATATCATTTCTATGCATATTTCAAGTTTCTGTGTTCCATACATTGCCTTGTTAAACCGATATTGACTCAAAACTCCTAAATATCAGAACTCAAGACAGATGTAGTTCAAAGATAGTCTGATGTGTCCTGTATGAAACCTGGCTTGTTGACTGTTTAAATTTGATCTTTTATTGGGTCATTGACAACTTCCAAGTGTGACATGATAGTTATCCACAGAGAAACTAAATCACAGCTCATCTGGATTAGGTACCATGAAACTATTCTCTACTTGCAAGGTATTCAGTCACATCAAACGCCATGGGGTTTTTTTAGCTTTCCTCATGTGATATTGCTTTTTTTGCTTTTCTTAAAAATGTGACTCATGTAAAAACAAACAAACAAAAACACCTCTCTATTGAACCAAAGAGATGTTTTAATAATCAAGTGAACAAGTAAATTAAAGGCTTGACATTATGAACCTAACCTGGCTAGATATTTAAAATATGTTCAACCCTATATTTACCTTAACAACAATGCTGTTCCCCCCCCCCCCCCCCCCAAAAACTGTAATTGATTGAATAATCTATATGGTGATATCTGTCTCATGTTTCTATTTAAAGTGAAAACACTTGTCTGACCTGATGTCATAGTTTATCAAACACTTTTGAGTATTATGGCAAAAGTTTGAGTCATGTGACAAGCTGAAATCTCTCCCTATAGATATTGACCCCCAACACACACACACACTTATTGCTCCATCATCAGAATGTAGATTTTTAAAACTGTTGCTGGATATTCTGCCTATTACTTCCTTTAACGTTTGATTTCAAATATTTACCAAAAACAACAACTTGTGTTAACATTTATTGGATTATGCAGTTTATTCAAAGTGTTGAGAAAAGGTTTTTAATTTCCCATCATGCAGTGGCCTGTTTTGCTCTGTCACTAACTTTACTTATGTTTACATCAAATTATTGTGCAAGAGTGTGACACTTTTTGTTTGATTTATTGCTGCTTTTTTTTTTTTTTTTTTTTTTTTTTTTTTTCATTATGATATTTTGAAGACATTTGGAGCAGTTTGCAGTGAGAGATTCCACCAAGTTCATCAAAAGAATCATCTACAAGTTGGGACGAGCTGGACAAGTTCAAGTTCCTCAGAGCGTGGATTTGTTTAAAATCATTGTCTCATGTTTCCTCCAGTATTTAATTACTACAATGTATTACCTCAAAGTTTTTCTAGTCAAATGTGTGGTTTCTTTTATTTCTTTATTGCATTAATTAAGCTATAATGTAAACCCATGTTCTGGTGGTCTGTCATAAATTAGCATTACATTTTTGCCTTTTCATGCATCTGATTGTAATACAATATTCTTATAATTTTTTACATCAAGGGCAGAACCGTTGTAAAGAGCATAAACTTATGGCACTGCTCTTTTTTTTAACAGCAGCGCTTTTTCCTACTTTGAGCTAATAGTAGTAAGGGTAGAAAAGTCCTGTTGGGATAAACAAGATAAGATTCCTGCATTTATCCAAACCAAATGGAAATTTTTTTGTGATGACGATGCCCGGCTTTTTAAACACATTCAACACAAACACAGAGAGTCGAAACCCCTCTGTTTCAACTTGACAATTTTAAACCGAAGCCTTTTTTTTTTTTTTTTGCATGTGGCGGTTTGAACAAAGTTTTAAAACATTAAAAGACCAGGAATCCATTGCCATCTCACTAGTCTTTCTTGTGCACGGGCTGACTTTTAAGAACTGTAATGTAATTGTAAATAATAAGTAGCAATACAATTAGATTATAGTCTTAAGTCAGTGTGGGCTCTAGAATGACTGGTTGGATGACACTTCCTGTATTTTGTACAAAAAAATCAATAACATGGTTTGAGTACCTGAAATCCGGCACATATTTTAAAACTACTAATTGTACCTAGGGAAGTATATGAAAGTTGATTCAGATATGAGCATTCCAAATTAACTTAATCTGTCATGCTGACATGTCAAAATATTATCTTACTTCAATCTGTCACGATAACTTGTCATATTACCATCCTTGGCTTAATCTGTCACAATGGTTTGTCATATTTCAGTGTCATTAGAGAATGAAGCCTATTGCAATATGAATAACAACAACCCACCCCCTGCACTGAAACCAAGGGAGGCAAAAGCAGGTTTTTTTACAGACATTTATTTCCCTTGTTGATTTAGGATGATAAGTTCAAGTTATTTGTTTACAACTGCTTTCTTGTTTTTGGTTTTGTTTACTATTGATGGATTGTTGCAAAATTGTTTCTATTAGCATTGAGTTAAAAAATTTAAGTCTACAACAATCATGAATTCATAGATTTTTATTGTCTATGCCGACTGTGTCCATAAGTTATTCCCACATTTTGTCTAAATAGAATAAAAACATCAACATGTATGTATAATTCTGTAGAAGCCTATGTATTATTTTGTAGATGCCTCATCTTTTTAAAATGATCCACATTGAATGTTTCAGGACACAGGATACATGCATCTCTGTACCTTATTTTCCTTAATTTTAATATCAGTGTAAGAAGATAATGTGTGGTACACTACTTCACTTAATTTATTACATAAAAATCTCATTTTTAAAATATTTCAATTGTTTGGTTAAAAAAAAAACTATTTGTTAATTTGATCAATATTTAATCCATTAGAAAGATTTGAACTGTTGCCCATACAAATTCAATGTTGCTTGTATTACTATTTTTAGACTTTGTATCTGAACAACCAGATTCTGTGTTGTCTACTTTCCTTTAAAAAAAAAATTTGACTGTCTCATTTTCATCGGGTTTCCTCTGACTATTTTAAAAGTAAGTTAGTAATAGTAATATTGTCTGACCTCTCTCTATTAGATTTGTGTTTGAGAAATTTTTCAAGTGTGTAATTGTCTCTTGTCTGTTGTTTGTTTCAGAGTTTGAGTTTTCTTTTGCTACCGTACATCAATCATGTATATGATGCACATTTTCGTTTTCCTTCTTCATTATCATCATCGTTTGATTTCCTCCATGAAACGTTTCACGTCAAAAGGGTTTGACGAGAAAGTAGGTACCCACATGGTTACCTCCCCGTCAGCCCCAAGTTTGCAGCTGTTCCGAAGGGAGAGAATCTCACCTCCATTTTGTAGGAATGAAACATTTAGCCACCTCAGGTTGGCAGCCGAAGGTCAGAGGGCAGGAAGTAAGCATTGCTGCAACCTATGCTTGACTGCAACCTGTTGGATGTATTTCTACTTGACACTGCCCCGTGTTTACCATCTTGTCATCCTCATGCCATCTCATGGTCAAGGGAAAACTGCTTCTGGTGATGGACTTCATTCCTCCATGTCCCACTGTTGGCTGCGGCCCTGCTATGGCTAGTTACGTACTATTAAAGATGAAATAACTTTTTCACTGGCCTCTAATTACATCCCTAGGATAGTTTTTAACAAGTCTTGACACGACTCAATGTCACTTATGTTGGGGGAAAGAGTACCGGTACTATAAAAATGAAATCTAAAGGTCTGTATCTTATGGGATTGATCCTTATAAAATACTTGTGCAATCTGGGACAAAAAAATGTAATTGGTACACCAGCTATTGTTTCTTAACACCTCCCCCATCATCCTAAAGTGTTTCCGACCGATGCTCTTGAATTGACGCCCTTGAACTGATCTCTTGTCTCCAGGTAAAAAAAGGTCACGCTCAAACCTGGGTAACGACAGCAGCAGCGATTACACCTTGTATTATGATGATGTTAAACTTGTCAATCCTAACTTGTCCCGGTTAAGTAAACTTGATAGTGTCTCTAGCTCATCCCTCAACTCAGAGCATAGCCTCAACCCCAGGTACACGTCTCTGAGGAAGACGTCTGGTACAAGCGAGCTGGAGCTGTTTCGGAAAAGAGGTGAGAGGTACTCGATGAAGAGGAAAAAACCCGAGCCGAACTTGCAACAGGCAAGTCAGCAGGAAACGAACCCCCCACCTGTTGGCAGCAATGCCGCCTCAACCAGTGCCGCCTCCACCAATGCCGCCTCCACTAATGCTGCCTCCACCACTTCAGATGGAAGTAGACATTCTGCATCCGAAACCAACAGTAATAAAAGTGTCCCTCACTGGCATGAAATACTTCGTCAGCAGTCAGTTGTCCAGACGGCTGTCAAACAGTTGGTCAAGACTCAAAAGTCCGTCAAGGCAGGGATTGAATCCCCGCAGGTGAAAGTGACGTCGCCTGTTGACGTTGACATATTCACATTGGTCAAGCCGAAAGTCTCTGCGGTCAAGACTGAAACTCCCGCAGACAGTCCCCAGTATCTGTCCCCCAACCAGTCCAAAGATGACTCTCACTCTTCTCAGGAGTCCATATCTATGTATGTGAAAGAAGCTCAGGCCATCAAGGAACAAGCAGCAGCAGCTGCAGCAGCATCGGTCTCCTCACAATTGGCAAAGTCAGTTAAACCAACACCATCAAAAAATCAATATCCCATATCACAACCCAAACCTAGCAGTAAGGGCGGTCAGTTTCAAACATCGACCCCCAAAAGTGAACGGAATTTTAAAGGCTCAGTTCGGAAAGTCCTCATGTCTGGAAAGTTTAGCTCGAATCCCGCACCAGGAAGTCAAAATGACACAACTCAGAGTCTACCTTCAAGGACAAAGAGCTTGTCATTGCCCCAGCAGACAGCCAGGAAAGCTGGCAACAGCTCCAGCCTGCCCAGACGCGGGAATCGGGTAAAAGGTATCGCAGACACCCTGTACGCTTCCAAAGATTGCCGCCATTCCAGCATATGTATCATACTCATTGGCTAGAAGCTCATTCAGGTAGTGCTAAGTAGAATTAACATCTGCACAATTATCTGAAACTGCAACAATGTACTCTTCATAGCCACAGAAGTTATTTGTACAAGTACGCGACAGTCGGTCAACACTGTGTCTAACCAATCGTGTGCTTTGCTGCGTATCCCATGTCCCGCACCCTGCTTTTGATCACTTCTATAATCCCGCTGCTGACCAAATATGTGAACCTTTCTCAATTGCTCTTGTCTAACACTGTTAATTCATGGTCTTCCCAGTTTCATACTTGAAACAGAATAACATAGCATGTGCTCTAGAAACCATTGAATAATATTTGAGTTTCCAATGTTCTAAATTAAAAATCCTGTGTTTTTTATGTGTGCATATTTTCCTTCCACCCACATTTTGTCCCCTTAAAGCTATATTAATCGATGTTTGCCACCCAAACCTTTCTCATAGCCACCTTCTATTCCTGATATAAAATATAATATGTTACATTTTTGTAGACATCATTTGATGATTGGCCAAAGTCTTTTGGTGTAAGCCGTGTCCTCATTTAGGATTTCCTGTTTCTCACTGTATGACTTTGACTGTTTCAATTTGCAATTATCATCCATTCAAAATCAAACTGTCTGGATGAGTTTGTGTCGAAACCTGTTAGTTTTTGTGGAATGTAAATTTAATTTAGAAGTTCTGTTCTCAATTAATTTGAACAATTTTTAAACTTTTTTTTTTTTTAAACATATCCGAATTTCAGACCATTTAACCTATGTCAAGTAAACAATATGTGCATGTTTTCAAAATGTTTTCCCAGAAGAATGATCTGAAACGGATTTTTAGAAACCATATTTTATTGTCTCCCAATAAATGTAGTGTGTCCCTGTGTGTGCTTGATATATGGCCCTATAAGATGCCATTCCACTTTCAGACAAGAGAGGGCACAGCAAACTCCCAGTGCTCAGTAAAGAGGAGAACACTGTGGAGAAGAAAACTGCAGAGAAAAAATCTGGAGAAAATGTGCAGCTCCTTACAGGCCAGCGCAGAGATTCCTACTCTCAAGCTTTGGAAAATCAGAAAGCCGCTGTGAAACTTCCCAAAGGTAACGCAAATAATAACGATAGGTTCCGGGCCTGGAGAAAAGTCGGAGGCTCTAGTCGCGTGCATGCTAAGACAGAGATAACACCTGTAGATCTAGACATGCGTCGGAATTCTGATGCTTCGTCCGCTTCTAGCTTAGCTTCCGGCGGTACTAACAAAGACGGTAGCTCCGATGATACTAAAAGCATGTCAGAGCAAGGCTTGCATGATGACCAGTCATGGGACAGTGGATCAAGTTCTCAGAAATCAAATACAACCAAAGGGTCCCAATCAAAACTTTCAAAGTCAATAGATTCTGAAGTTCCTGTAACTGCTAAAAATGTGGCACAAAAGTCCCCAAGGCCATCTTTGAGTAGTGGCGCAGACAGTTTTGAAGAGGTGTATAACTCAAATGTCAACAAACTGGTTGAGCTGATGAATGGAGGGGATACAGGTCACTCAACGCATGACCCCAAGACGGTCGTCAAGGAGACTAAAAGAGTGCTGCCGTCAGTGCCATCAAACGGTAAGAAAAAACATCTTTTGCTTCAAAAATCTTTCTCTCTCTCTGAGGAGGTGGCAGAAAGCTCAAAGTACCAGAGTTTTGATGATGCAGGCTCTGATAGCAATGTGCCAGTCATTAGTGAAAATATTAAAGTAGATCATAAATTATTACTGCCTAACCCAAATAGCCAAACCGTTTCTGATGCTAAATCAGGTCCAGCACACATAGAAACTTTTTCAGGGAGCAGCAAGAAAAACTCCTCGTCAGATGAAACTCCAGTGGCGCCTCCAAGAAAGACCAAGAGAAAATTACCTTCGATCGTAATTAACGTTGATCAACCAATAGCAGAGGCTGCAGCCGTGAAGACATCAGCCAATGAAAGTCAAAATGGGACAAGCGGAGGAGACGAACTGAAACCAAAGACTTTCCTGAGCCCTGTTCATTTCCATCCCCCCTCAGTGCTTCAACAGTTGGAAGAACTAGGCAGGGCCCGAGACGCGCCAGATAATCTTCAAGTCAACCTCTGCAGATCCTCGTCCAATGTTTCAGACACTCTGAGTAGTATCACAGAAATATCTGAACAGTGGGGGGAGGCGGACTCACTGCCCTATGAAAGTGATGTGTGCAGTGACAGTACCTTACACGAGAGACATTTTGATGAAAGCTTCCTCATTGAAGATGAAATACACAGTGATAGGGGCATTACTATTTCTGTTCCTGTTACCTCGGACAGTGAAGTGAATTCGAGATCTGCTGAAATTGACCGCTCAAGAGAGCGTCAGCAAGCAGACGTAAAGCTTATTGAATCGGATGCTAGAGCCGAGGCAGATCGGAATGAAGGAAACCAATCGGATATAGAAGACCAAGCCGACAGCCAAGTTCTGGAAGACTCAAACCCCGAAGACTTCAGCGATGACATGGAGCAGTCGGCCATGGAATGTGAGAGACAGTTCAAAGGTCGCTCAACAGCTTCTCACGACCCTGCACCGCTTGATCCAGCAACACAGTCTCAGACCGGCACAGGCGCGGCGGCAGATGGCAGAGAGTTTCACAGAGTTCCCTCTGATACTGTGGCAAGGACAGAAAATAAATCAGAAGCTCTGAAGAGTGAAACATGTGTTGACCGGAGGAAGAGTGAAGAAAATGTTAAGGCGAGTCTCTTTGGAAAGTTTATAGAAAAACCAGCAATCTTTGATCTGGGTTCCCTTCTGTCAGGTGGCAAAGAAAGAGCAAAGAAGAAAAAGGCCGTCACGGATGCGCTGCTGCGTGAAAAGGGGGGTGACAAGAAGATCACCTTGCTGTCCTGGGTACAGAAAAACCAAGAAGAGGAGGCCCAAACGTCCATCGACCTGTTCGAACCTTACTCTGCTATACCAGAAGCCACCCTCGACCTGGACAGCCATGGTGAGACTGCTTGCTGTACTGTCGGAGGAGGGGCTTATGGTGTGGGAGGAGCTTGTGGTTCTGACACCAAAAGCTTCCCTCTGGATTGGATGAGATTTATACCCCTGATATACCCATGTTATTCCTCCATTGCATGCAGGCAGTGCACTATATGATATACCTTTCTTCTCTTGGCATGTGTCCTCCCCCTGCCCTACTTTCATCATTGAAACATCTATTTTAAAAACTTGCATACAAAATGCATAGCAGGTATTTTATGATGAAGTTATGCGTGTACCTTTATTTCCATTTCTTGTGGCTCTTGGTATGTAATGGCTCCGCTAAGTTTTGTGCTATTTTAGTTAAAGTCTTAAACATAATAAAAATATTGCATTTAATTTTTTTTTGTAATAGTAATCTTAACATTTGTAATTAGAACCAGTCAAATACTATTCAAAATCTTTCAATTGCTTAAAATAAAAGCTTTTGGAATAAGGAAATTTTAAAATAATTTTGAATAAATTTATTCCAATTTAAATTATAATAAAAGAAAAAGAACACCATTTTTTACAGATATTTTTGGGAGTTGAGGAGCAATATAAATATGGCCATAGTATTAATTATATGTTAAATCATTCACCAGCTCAATAAAAAATGCCTAAAATTATGTGTTTAATCATTTAAAAAATTAATTATGCATATTTCAATGTGTTTACTTAAATAAGTTTCTTGAAATATCTTAAGGTTTATTATTATTTCTTACACCATAGCTATAGAAGGAGTTGAGGTACTATAGCACATTTTTTTGCAGAATGAGTTGTTGCGTGCGTGTTTATACATTAAGAGAGGCAAGACTAATTAGTTTGGCTTTGAATTGTTGTCTATTTAAACACTAAGAGCAGCAAGACTAACTAGTTTGGTTTTGACTTGCTTGATGCCAAGTTCCAATATGCACACTAAAAAAATGTCATGATGCCAAGTATCTGATTGCACGGCTTGTCCACAGTCACTGAATGCTCACAATAACGTGTCCTTCTTTTAGAACATTAACTTTTGACCAACTTACAGCAGTTAAACCCCCCCCCCCCCCCATCCCGCCACACTTTCATTATTACTGTGAAGATTGGCATTTCCAAATCTATTGAAACTATGCAGTGAAATTTTTTTATTTTAGAACATTAACTTTTGACCAACTTACAGCAGTTAAACCCCCCCCCCCCCCATCCCGCCACACTTTCATTATTACTGTGAAGATTGGCATTTCCAAATCTATTGAAACTATGCAGTGAAATTTTTTTTTAAATACAACTACAGTTTGTTTATTTTGGTCAGTGAATATGTTGGGTGTTGTAACTGTTGAAATGAAATGACCAAACCATTAAAAAAAAAAATTGCATCAAAGTCCCTGTATTATGAGCTGGCCAGGGTAAACTAAAAGATCTATGACGTCTTGTTATAGCAAACTGTTGCACTACTTGACAACTTCCACCAAAACCATAACTTAACATCATTAACAGTTTGAGAAATGTATATTCATTTTTTAATGCTTACATGCTATGTACTAAGAAAAACAGTGTAAATGGCACATCTAACTATTTCTATTTATGAGCAAACAGATGTAGATTGATGTAGGAACAGAACCTGTACATTGCCACCTGTATTTAATTAAGTAGTTAACTGTTGTACTCAGATTTCAAGATGGATATTTCACTCCTCTCTTTTGAGCATTTGGCTGGGGGTTTTTTTATAACCCAAAAGCTTTTTTGCTTCATTGATTTATCTACCAGAATGAGGAATGTGTGTGATTTTAAGTCTAGCTTGAAAAGTGTTATTAACAATTGCTTATTTCTTATGTTGGATTGTTCATCAGACCTGTCTCGGACAGAAAATGCTGGTCTAGAATATTAGTCACCAGTACATCACAAGAAAAAAATTATTGATGTGGAAAATTAATTCATCAAACCTGTCTCAGACAGATAGGGCCGGTCTAGAATATTTTTTATATCACAAGAAAAACAAGTCTTGGTGGAAAATATTTCCTTCTTCAAAATAAAAGAAACTTACTTCTGTTATAGTTTAGTGATTATATTTGCATTGTGAGAGGTTTTGAACAGAGCTGCTAAACTACCAAGCATATACTGATGGCAACTTATTGTCATGCCTCATAGCTTTCATGCTGGTTTATGATCCACAACAAAACAATTGCATATACTGATGGCAACTTATTGGTCATGCTTCATAGCTTTCATGCTGATGGCAACTTATTGTCATACCTCATAGCTTTCATGCTGATGGCAACTTATTGTCATGCCTCATAGCTTTCATGCTGATGGCAACTTATTGTCATGCCTCATAGCTTTCATGCTGATGGCAACTTATTGTCATGCCTCATAGCTTTCATGCTGATGGCAACTTATTGGTCATGCCTCATAGCTTTCATGCTGATGGCAACTTATTGGTCATGCCTCATAGCTTTCATGCTGATGGCAACTTATTGTCATGCCTCATAGCTTTCATGCTGATGGCAACTTATTGTCATGCCTCATAGCTTTCATGCTGATGGCAACTTATTGTCATGCCTCATAGCTTTCATGCTGATGGCAACTTATTGTCATGCCTCATAGCTTTCATGCTGATGGCAACTTATTGTCATGCCTCATAGCTTTCATGCTGATGGCAACTTATTGTCATGCCTCATAGCTTTCATGCTGATGGCAACTTATTGTCATGCCTCATAGCTTTCATACTGGTTTATGATCCACAACAAAACAATTGCATATACTGATGGCAACTTATTGTCATGCCTCATAGCTTTCATGCTGGTTTATGATCCACAACAAAACAATTTGCAGAGATAAAATTTTCTGGAGAAATTTCCTTTTTAATGTGCAAGTGCTTGACCAATGTTTTGAGACTGGTCATTTTAAAGGGCACTGTAATGTAAATCAGTCATTAGCTTTTAAAAAAACAAATTGTAGTGTTGAAGATACATTTATTGCATGAATATTAAATTATAATTTTTCCTTTCTTATATGGATCTTGAGATGATTCAGATTTTTTTTAACACCTGCCCTCCTGTAATCATCAAAGTCTGATAAACAAAATAACCTGATAACATTTTAGTGACTTACAAGATTTGTTTTTGAATCAGGTTTTGTTTTCATAGCCATAGTGAAAAACAAATAAAATTTTTATGCATGAAATAAAATGACCTTTCAAAAAAAAAAAAAAAAAAAAAAAAAAAAAAAAAAACAAAGAAAAAAAAAATAAAAAAAAAAAAAAAAAAAAAAAAAATTAAAAAAAAAAAAAAAAAAAACTTTAAAAAAAAAAAAAAAAAAAAAAAAAAAAAAAAAAAAAGAACATGGCAGATAAGATTTATTTAAACTTCAAGAAAATAAGAACGAAATTAAAAACTGTTAAATGATGACGAATTGAAATGCTGATTAATGGATGTATATTGTGATTTAAATTATTTATTTCTTTTCGTTTCCTTTCTTTGCTTTTTTTGCATGTGGCCATTATTGCACTTCAAATGGCTTGCATATCTTAAGCTTAATATATTGCTGATATTTCTATTTATTCCAGTATCTGACAAAAATTAATTCCAAGTAGCTGAATAATTTAGATGTTTGAAGCTAAAATAAGTATTCCTAAAACTAAATATTCCTAACAATTTATATGGAAGATTTAAAAAAAAAATTAAATACAGTGCAATAGCTAACCAGTTTCATTATGATACTATGTCATTTATCAAACTAACTTTATTTTCAGTCTATCAAAATACAGCAAACTTTATCTGAGCTTTAAATTGACTGTATTAAATTTCCTTACCTCTTTTACACAGAATTGAAATATATATATATATGTAAATATTAAGATATTGGTAATTTTGTCATTAGTTTAAGTAAAAGAAATTTATCATGTTCTGTTAAAGAAAAAGTAATTTGTAAGGTTCTGTTAATGTAAAAGAAATTTATCATTTTCTGTTAAAGTAAAAGAAATTTAGCATGTTCTGATAAAGTGAAAGAAATTTCTGATAAAGTAAAAGACATTTATAATTTTCTGATAAAGTAAACAATTTGTCATGTTCTTTTAAAGTAAATTAAATTTGTCATGTTCTTTTAAAGTAAATTTAATTTGTCATGTTCTTTCCCATTTTCTGGGCTCTGTTTAATCCCACATTTTTGGCCAACAATCAGAGTTAGTACGTGACAGTGGAGTCAACAGCAGCCATACAAGTAGAGCCAACACACCAGAACAACCTACTCACAGCAGTAGCAGAACCAGTGTCCCCGAACAACGTGCTTCCCAGCAGACGCAGCAGAAATCACACGCGGACCAACTTCTGGTAGTGCCTGTCATAGCGGTCACCAACGCTGGAGATGAGGTAAGGAGGCAAACCACCCAGCCCATATTTCATCCTGAATTACACCCAACTAGCTGTTGCTACAACTAGCTGTTGCTGCACCTTCTGTAATCATATTGAATTTTGCTACTCTTTAATTCGGGCCATTTTGAAAATTGTATGACTCTAGAAATGAAATGACGTTGGTATTTTTTTCCCTAGCTGACACCTGTTGCATGGAGAAGGAGAAGAACTGCCACCAATAACAACAGCAAGGCACATTATGTTTTACCTTCAGCATGTCTTGTAGTCTAAGTCCATAATAGCAGACCAGATAGGGTCAGCATGTCTTGTAGTATAAGAATCTGATAGATCTAATAGACTTGCAGTTAAAAACCCATAAGACAACAGGAACTTTTTACTTTAATCAGCATGCAATACAAGAGAAAAATCTAGATTTAGAGGTTCTTTCTTGTGTCTGTCTGTCATTTCCCCCCTCCTAACCCTCTTTCTCCCCCACAATCCCTTTGGGTCCCCTCGTGACATTAGATTCATCTTAATGACAGCTAAGAACTGTGACAGCTAATAACTTGACAGCTAATAACTGTGGCAGCTAATAACTGTGACAGCTAATAACTGTGACAGCTAATAATTGTGACAGCTAATAACTGTGACTGCTAATAACTGTGACAGCTAATAACTGTGACTGCTAATAACTGTGACAGCTAATAACTGTGACTGCTAATAACTGTGACTGCTAATAACTGTGACAGCTAATAACTGTGACTGCTAATAACTGTGACTGCTAATAACTGTGACTGCTAATAACTGTGACTGCTAATAACTGTGACAGCTAATAACTGTGACAGCTAATAACTGTGACTGCCTATAACTGTGACAGCTAATAACTGTGACTGCTAATAACTGTGACTGCTAATAACTGTGACTGCTAATAACTGTGACTGCTAATAACTGTGACAGCTAATAACTGTGACTGCTAATAACTGTGACTGCTAAGAACTGTGACTGCTAAGAACTGTGACAGCTAATAACTGTGACAGCTAATAACTGTGACATTGAAAATTTCTTCATTTGACTTTTTTTTCAATTTTATTCAAGTTCAAACATTGAAAAGGGGGGGGGGGGGGTTATTATTTTTTTTTTTTAAAAAATAATATTGAGCAGCTCACTCCATTACACTAGACAAGAATCATGACTTAGTTCAGTTATAGGTGGCTTTCATCAAGTCAACATGCAATATTGGATGCATATATATTGTTTTAATTATTGGGGTTAGCACCTAATGGATCCAGGATTTCCCCTTATTCTCTATGTATTCTCTAAAGGCTCCACAGAGATTTTCAAGATATAGCCGAAATAAACCAGAGCACTACATGCAAAGTGACCTTAAAAAAAAAAAAACAAGTATTTTAAAAAAAAAAAATTTTTTTACTGTCTCCTTGTTTTGTTTTAGCAGAAAGAAAGGGAAGAAGAAGATGATGATTTGTATGAAATGTTTGACAACAAACGAGGATCCAGGATTTCCCCTTATTCTCTATTTATTCTCTAAAGGCACCAAAGAGATTTTCAAGATATAGCCGAAATAAACCAGAGCACTACATGCAAAGTGACCTTAAAAAAAAAAAAAACATGTATTTTAAAAAAAAAAAATTTTTTTACTGTCTCCTTGTTTTGTCTTGGCAGAGAGATAGGGAAGAAGAAGATGATGATTTTGATGAAATGTTTGACAACAAACGGCCGCAGTTATTAGGGAGTCGTAACAGCTTGGCTGTAAGTTCATAAAATGTGGCTGGCTGGAAACGGATTCATTTTTCACGGGCATGAGAACCCCCTCACATGGCTAACCTCTTTTGTTCATACTTTTGTTTACTTAACATTTGATTTCAGCTCTAATTCAATTTTAACCGATCCATTTTTTTAAAAAAAGGGACGCTTTATGTGTATGCACATTTATAAATACACTCATCGTGTGCTTATCAATATTATTTCAGTTTCAGTTTTATCATCATGCACACATTTGTTTTAACAAGTTGCACACTAATCATTATTTAAAATGTTTTTTTTTTAAATGCATATCTGTGTGTAATAAAATATATCAAGATCAATGCACTCAAAGAATAGTTGATATTTACCAAGAGTCTTTATCATGCAGTTTTGTTGTGAGTGGGAAAAGGGAGGGGGGGGGTGTGCTACAGTTAATTTATATGTGCTGCAGTTTCAGCCGCCTTTAAGAAATAAAAATATTAAATGAAAAAATTAATGCAAAATGAATATAATTAATTTTTGAAACTCCATATTTTGAATTATGGAGTACAGTTAGATTGTTGTATACCATTATGAAGGAACAGACCAGTTATCTCAATCAGTGTCAATCACCACTAGCTCATAGTGAATTTCAGCTTTATATTCTTTTATGGCATTGAAAAAAATGTACTTTTTAATATAACTGGTTTCAGAAACTTTATATCATTTAATCTATGTATTGTCATTGTCCTAAATACTTAAGTCAAAGTCATATCTGCCATGTACAGAAGCTAAGAAATCAATCTAAAGATCTTATTTGATCTTATTTGCTTCACTGTGCTTGTCTAATTTTGGGTTCAGGAGTCTGTTTCAAACCAATCAGAATTCAGCATTTATAAATGTATGCTGTTTTTAAAAAAAAAATCTACCCCATAGGTTTTTTTTGTTTGTTTGAGAGGCATTGCTAAGAATATCAGGCATATTAAAGGGTAAAAGATGTTTATGAAAAGACCAATACTAAGAGGTATTACTTTAGGGCAGTGGTTCCCAAAGCAGGGTGTATGCCCCACAGTGGGGAAAATTGAAGATTTTTTTTTGGGGGGGGGGGGGACGACATTTAGACTTTGGGGAAATGTTTTTGCATTTAAAAAGTGGGGCTGGAGCCAAAGTTAAAAATGGGAGCAATTTACCCTTTGCAGGTGCTTATGTGGGGCATAAAGGGTAAAAGATAGTTAAGAAAAGACCAATACTAAAAGGGTATACTTTAGGGAAGGGGTTCCCAAAGGAGGGGGTTAGGCCCACCGGGGGGAAAAATGAAGATTTTTTTTTGGGGGGGGGGGGGACGACATTTAGACTCTGGGGAAATGTTTTTGCATTTCAAAAGTGGGGCTGGAGCCAAAGTTAAACATGGGAGCAATTTAACCTTTGCAGGTGCTCATGTGGGGCCTAAGGCAGAACATTTTTGGATACACTGCTTCAGTTGCATAACTCGATGACCCAAAGGAATCTGACTGTGAGCACATCAGCTCATTTTAAAGATCAACATTTTACTGACCTGGTCTTATTGTGACTAGGGGTAGATCCATACATTTTGTTGTGCACATCATCATCAAAAGTCAATTTTAAGCTCATTAAGAAAAACAAGAAAAGATATTGTTGTTTGATGCTCTATGCAAAAGTGAGTTGAATACAAGTGCCGGATTTATTGCCAGGTAGTAATAACATGATTTAAGCATGAATGTTGGTGCTGGCCTGGTTGTGGGGATTCATTTTAAATGATGAGATGAACATGAATTTCCTAACCTATTCACATACATTTATATCATTAGATGCTTTCCTTTCAAATACAATTATCATCATTAGATGCTTCCCTTTGCTTACTAACAATTTATTGCTTTTAATAAGACCAGTCTTGTGTCACTTAATTCATATGGCTTATTTTTAAGGGAGGCTAACGTATTACTTAGAATACAAAACCTATTAGGTATTTGATAAAGTTATAAATCAAATAAGATTATTCAATTGTCCAATCCCCCCAGCTCCTCAATTGGTCAATACCCAATACCTTCTAACTGTTCTGGTGTTGCCAAGATTTATTGGATTAAATTCCGTGTCAGTCTCTTTTCATTCATCTACTGAATGATTGTGCCTGTTTGTTAACACAACAAGCATCCTGTACACTCAGCTCAATTTAAAACAATTGCTTCACTATATCCATCAAATGAATCAATTTATTTCATGAAGAATTAAATTTAACTTATTGAAATAATTTTTACCTATTTTTTGTCTTTCTGAGAGTACATTGTAATATATATAAAAAATTCCATTTATCTGGATCAATAAAAGAATGTTACCTTATCTTATATTAAATTTAAATGGCAAAGAATAAACTTTTCTTTAGCAGCGGTAGGACCTAAGTCAAACGAACAATTTAAAATTATTTGTATCTTGGTCATTGCCACTATCCAGAATAATACATTTAAAAATTACACCTACTGGTAGAATCCATGAAACAAAATAGTTCACCCATCAGATAACCTGACTTAAATGCCATGATTATTATTATATATCTGTGACAACAAAAGGACAGCCGAGAGAGCATTTACAGTGTATACAGTGATGCAGGGGAGGTAAATTATGGTAGGATCCCCGTCACAGGGGACATCATGTTCAACCTGAGCTACAATGCCAAGGCCTCTCAGCTGGAAGTGCACATCAAACAGTGTCGGGATCTCGGACCGGTGGACACCAAACACAACAAATCAGACCCGTAAGTAGTCAACGCGAGTTCTTTTAGGCTCTTTGTAATCAGGATGAAATTGAAATTATTTTTAAAAAAATATGAAATGAGAGTTCTTGTTAAGAGAGGTGATTTTAAGAGAGAGGATGTTAAGAGAGAGGATGTTAAGAGAGGGGATGTTAGAATTGTTAAAGGATTTCATTTCTCAGCTGTTTTTTTTTTTAAAAACTGTATTTTTATTTTCCAGATATGTCAAGACGTATCTCCTTCCTGACAAAACTCGAAGCAGCAAGAGAAAGACAAAGATAAAAAAGCACACGCTTAATCCCACATTTGATGAGACCTTAAAGGTGAGACTAGGCCATGTTTCTAAGCACAGCCTGGTTTAGGTCAATACTGCTTTACTGACCTTTAGAAGTATTTCTAAAAGAATTTGACATTTAGACAACAGGTAGGGTTAAGTGTTGTTAATTTTTTACGGGTGAGATGTTGTTCTACTGAGAAATTCTTGAGCTTGTTTTTTGCTCTGCTTTCCCCAGTATTCAATCAGTAAAGCAGAGCTCGAGTCTCGCACGTTGTGGGTCACAGTCTGGCACAATGATCGATTCGGTCGAAACGACTTTCTGGGGGAGGTTACCATACCTTTAGACTATTATAGATTTGATGAGAACGAACCAAGATGGTACCCATTGCAAGAAAGGGTGAGTAAGATTCTCTCCACCATCTCTCCAGCCTACCTAAGTGGAGTGAAAAAGATACACAAATACCAAAATATCATGGGCTTTTTTTTTTTTTTTTTTAATCTATGCAGATTTAAAATAAAAGATAACATTGGACTGCTAGAAACCATTGGGAGTGAAACAATGTGATCTAGAATGGTACCCATTGCAAGAAAGGGTGAGTAAGATTCTCTCCACCATCTCTCCAGCCTACCTAAGTGGAGTGAAAAAGATACACAAATACCAAAATATCATGGGCTTTTTTTTTTTTTTTTTGTAATCTATGCAGATGTAAAATACAAGATAACATTGGACTGCTAGAAACCATTGGGAGTGAAACAATGTGATCTAGTTGATAATATGACTGTTTATTTAAGTGAGAAGATCATTTTGGTCAGGATGCTCCTATGATTGTTGTTGACTAGGTTGAACTTGTTTATAATATAAATGTTTATTTATATGAGCAGGCCGTTGGTCAAGATGCCCCTGTGATGCTACACAAGGGTAAACTTGTTTATTTTCAATGAGCAGGCTGTCGGTCAAGATGCTCCTATGATGGTGTACAAGGGTGACCTCTTCGTCTCGCTCAAGTATGTTCCAGCAGACATGGTAGAGAATGCTCCCAAGAAGAAGTCTGGATCATTTCGCAAGAAGAGCAAGGAGAAGGAGAAGCCGCAGACAGGGCTGGGAGAGGTTCATGTCTTGGTTAGAGAGGCTCAGAATCTCACGGCCATGAGGGCAGCTGCTGGCTCGAATCCTTTCTGTAAAGGGTAAATGGATTACATTACTTGGTGTTTAGATCTCTTTAGACAGTCTACCGATGTCCTGACTGGACTCCAATTAACAAATCAGTGACACAATTAACTTGGTGACATGTAAAAACTTATTAACATAATTAAATACAGTGAACTTATTAGTATTATTCAACCACTTTATGTTATCATTTAATTACTTATTGACGCGTATTCTTTTCTTTAACTCTATTCATTTCTCTGATATAAAAAACCCAACTTTTCGAACCCTGTATCTTTTTTAATTTTATTTTTTGCCATTTTTTAAATATTTTTTTAAATTTTTTTTTTTTTTTGTAAATCGTAAAATTGGTAGAAATTTGTTGTTTTTTGTTAAAAAGGTTAGAAGAAGATTTGAATCATTTTGTTTGGTGGGTTTGATGTATTTTTTTTAATTTTATTTTTTGTCATTTTTTAAATATTTTTTTAAATTTTTTTTTTTTTTTTGTAAATCGTAAAATTGGTAGAAATTTGTTGTTTTTTGTTAAAAAGGTTAGAAGAAGATTTGAATCATTTTGTTTGGTGGGTTTGAAGAAACCTTTGATAGAGCCGGGTAAAAGATGCCACATTAGACACATTTTCTTTAGTCGTAAGTCGATGTGGCAGTGCAATATCTATAAAAATGAATGCTCTACGAAAATATCAATCGATTTCTATTCAAATCGTCCGATGATTGAGAACCAGAATCAAGTGATTCTGATTCAGATTTGGATGAGAATCATCCTTTGCAGCGCATTGAAGTAGTGAATACTAGAAGGTCAGTTTATAAGTATTTCAACATTTGATGTTTTTCTGAGTTTTATTATAATTTTTATAAGTGTACGGGTTTTAATTTTGTTTTTAAGCATATTGAAATATTTGTTTGCCATTTTAAAGGGAAATTACTTAAATTTCATCATTTTGTAATGTGCAAATATTTTATTACATTAGATAATTTGTTCAGTCTTATTCTTAGCGACTGTGGCCAAGGGCTGTAAACAACGCAGTGGGAGCTGCTTATGAGCATATATTTCATTCTAACGAAAATGAAATTTGACTTTTGTGTGTGTTGTGAAAAATAAATTCAATGATTGGTATATTTTGAAAGTCATGATGGTTGTAACACAACATTTGAAACTATAATATCTGTAATTGCAAGTTAAGTAGGCCCTATATACTTTGTATTCATTTCATCCCTAAAATTAGCATATATAATATTTCTTGTTCTTTTATATTTGCAGTGAAACTCATATGATGACCAACCAGTTTCCATTGTTAAGTTTTTTTCCCGCCAGGCTTACATCTTAGGGAAATGGAAACAAGGCAAAAATGGATACAGTCTTTACCCTCAAAGTTTTTTCAAGTTTCAATCCAAATACAATGTATTCAATGTGATGATTAACATATGTCAAATGCAACAACATCTATGCTTCTTCCGTGGAACCTTCTAAACCATCATCAACAGTAGATAGATGTTACAGCAGATGAATTGTACACCTTTCTAGGACTTCTAATGTACATAGAAGCTGGACTGGTCCCCAGTGTTAAAAAAATACTTGTCAACATTGAGACAGTACCATGTATCTTTATGCCACAAATCAATTTTATTCAAATTATGACATTCTTCAAAGTTACTTGTATTGAAACAGAAAATGAGGAGGACAGACTGTTCAAAAAGAAGTTCTTATCTAACTTTATCAGAATTTTTTTATAAAAATGAAAGCGAGATGATCTGTGGTAAATATGAGACAAATAAATTTTAACTGCTCAGTTGAGAGGATGCTGAGCAAGAGGGCAGATACCCATTGCACAAGAAGGCACAGCCCAGCCCCAGCCTGACCAGCCCATCACTGAACCGGGAGGCAAAGCCTGGCTCGATGACTGGGCAGCAGGTTACACTGAGCATGAGCTCTACCACAACATGCTGCGGATCCAATAAGAGTGACCCCTGGAGAAAACTGGCACATGTGGAACAAAGCCTCATTGCACAGATGCAAACAGAACACTACCTGACACATAGCTACCTACTTAGTCTCATGCAGAGATCCTTACTGCGAATCTGTAACCTGGCCACTGAAATGGTGGAACACATAATGGCTTAGTGCCCTGATACTGGCAGGGGTTTCGACAGGTCAAACCCTGAAATTAATAGTTTCATTTCTGGCTTGATGAGGCTTGCCTGTGATGGGCTAGCCAAAGTTATAAGAGTTTAGGTTCAGTCTTACAAGGGAATGAATCATATTAAGTTGCTGGGTGGCCGAGCGGTATAAACTGTCTTAAACCAAATAGCTGGTGGTCTAGAGTTCAATCGCCACCAAGCCAATATCCCAAGCACCCCGGGTGGATGGGACTCGCTAGCCTTGGACGGCTACCAATCTAAGAGAAGGCAAACTCTGAATTTAAACCAGGAGCCAGAATGATCAACTAATTGATCTTGGGCTCCTCAAATATAAGAATTAAGAAGAATTTGAGAGATGATAAAGTATCCCTTATTTCAAATTATATGATTAGCAAATGGATTTTCTTTAGTGAACAGGAGAACCACAACCTATGGTGTCTTTACACCTATTATCTATTTCAGGAGGGAAAAAAGGAAAATCCTGATATAACTAAACTAAATTGACCTAATTTTTAACTTCACATTTATTTCACAGAGGAACCTATTTGAGGCATTAGCCGGATTATTACAAAAAATACAAATAATGATGCTCCAAGTGCCTCATAATTAAATATCACAAAATACAATAGAATACACAATACATGGTTTCTGATTGCAAAGATTTGAAAAGAAATTGTTAGGTGTGATATAAACTAAGAATGCACAAGAAAATCCACATTGAAAAGTAGCCCATGACACTTACACAAGAAACTGGATAATTGAGTAACTTTTAAGTTTGAATTGTCTTCTGGTATGTTTTCTTCTGTGTAAATACTTTCAAACAGGTAAAATCATAATAACCTGTAATTCTTGTGAATACTTTGTGGTGGCGTGGAGATTTGTTATACTATATCTTTATTATTATTTCCTCTTTTTGACACATTTTACACAATCTCTCATATTATGGTCAAATGCTCATAAAACATTCTATTTGTTCATATGACTTACACAAATGAATATTGTTTTTGAATAAACAGGTTTTTATGCTAAAAATCCAGGTAGTTTATTATTTTTTCTTCTTTGCATCTAATCAACAAAACTTGAACTTATATGTTTTGAAGCAATAATTGATAGGAGCTGCATGCATTTCCACACAAATTAATGTATAACATCATGAATACTAGACATGGATTCTATAAGTTATTGACTCTTGTGGGGGTCACTAGAAGTCTCAAGAAAATTTTTTTAGAAAAATTCAAATACTGCAAAGAGTTGAAGTATTTTCTGCGCCCATCATTTAGTTATGACAATCAAAGCAACAAAGTTAACTGAAAATGTAAAAATCATTATATTTATTAATGACAGTACCCCATTTGACACTAAATCTCATACCTTTGATGCATATTGATGTCAAGCCTGTTTCTGAAACTCATATACCTCCTACTGGATGTGTCACATAATGAAATGTTTCTGTTTCAGCCACCTCCTACCGGATGTGTCACATAATGAAATGTTTCTGTTTCAGCCACCTCCTACCGGATGTGACACATAATGAAATGTTTCTGTTTCAGCCACCTCCTACCAGATGTGTCACATAATGAGATGTTTCTGTTTCAGCTACCTCCTACCGGATGTGTCTCATACAAGCAAACAGAAGACCCCAGTCATCAAGAAGACCACCAACCCCCAGTGGCAACACATTTTGACGTTTGAAGGCGTCGACCAGTCCCAGCTCCACCAGCATGGCCTGGAGCTGACCATCTGGGACCACGAGAAGCTGTCCAGCAATGATTTCCTGGGAGGTGTTCGGCTTAACTTGGGGCAAGGTACGGGCCAGCAGCGTAATTTATCTAGCAGACTGCCGTGACAGCATGCTAATCATTTTTTTTGAAAAGTTAACTTAGTTTTAGAATACCATCATGAATTACACCATCATGAATTACACAAAGTCCAGATCAAAATATACAGGCATAGTGTTTATATATTTTCACTGATGAACTTTTGGGTACTAGTCAGTTCAATTTTTGGTATTCACAATCTCTTGTGAAATTGATTTTTGAGCAACAATTACATCTTAAAAAAAACAAAACCAATAATGTTTAGTAAGGCAAACCAATGGGCATTTGGATGAATGTAAAAAATGTAAATTATATAAACTGATGATGTAAAGAAGGACTCGCATCATTTGGGGCCTGTGTATGGAGGCAGAAAGCCATGGATCGGTCCGAATGGAAGGAAATGGTGGAGCAGGCTAGGGCCCTACATGGCCAGTAGCGCCACTGATGACGATGATGATGAAGTTATAAAAAAAAAAAAACAACTGCAAGAAGTAAAAGTTCTTTACGTTAATATTTAAAGCTTGCATATCTTCAGCGATCGTAACCTTTTGCTGGTTAATAAGTATTTTAACTAATCGCTTTCCCAAAGCTTAGACAGAAAAAAAAGTGTGCTTCTGTTCATTTATTACACGTCTGTCTCTGTAATGGACATCATTGAAACATTTATTGATGGATTTAGTCATACATACTTGGTCTTAGATGTTGTCTCTCATTCCCCACCACAGGAACACATCAAGGCAAGCCAGTAGATTGGATGGATGCCAGAGGCGAAGAGGTCGAAGCCTGGCAGAGCATGATGGAGCATCCGAACGAGTGGGTCGATGCCCAGCTGCCGCTGCGCGCCTCCATGGGAAAGCAGAATGTCAAGAAATAGTCCAGCTATGGGACACTCTTCCGGAAAGGAGTCCAGCCGAGTGTAGGCAAAGGAAATGTTTATGCCGGGAAAGAAGATTTGGGTCAGTGTTCAGATTGTGTCAGTCCAAACTTGAAGGCTGAGATGAAGAAGTGTCCTGGTCATTTAGAGCCTGAGGAGGCAATGTTAAGTCAGGCTGGAGGGTCATCTCAGCCCAGGCACGTGGGCACTTCTGACAGTACTCAGTGTACTTCTGAAAGTACTCAGTGCACCAGCTCTGTAGTAGCTAGAGAAGGGATTGATGAGAAACAGGCTTTGATGATGACTAGCTCAGTACATAGTCCTGTACATAGCTTAATACAGAGCACAGTAAATAGCATAGTAAAAAGTCCAGTCCATAGTATAGAACGTAGCACAGTACATAGCTCAGTATATAGCTCAAAAATAGTTGCTAGTTTGTCCCAAGCCAAACAATTCATTGGTAGCCCCGAAGAGCATTTACTTAGCTCAGAACTAGCTGCTACTTCATCCCAGGCCGAACAATTCACTGATAGCCTTTATGATCATTTACATAGCTCGGAACCAGCTGCCACTTCATCCCAGGCCAAACAATTCACCGATAGCCTTGATGATCATTTACATAGCTCGGAACTAGCTGCCACTTCATCCCAGGCCAAACAATTCACCGAAAGCCTTGATGATTATTTACATAGCTCGGAACTAACTGCTACTTCTTCCCAGGCCAAACAATTCACTGATAGCCTTGAAGAGAATGAAGTCTCTGGTGAGCACTTGTTCTCTAAGAGAATGGTCAACATCGATCATCATGTGTGCAGGCAAGTCATGTGGAATAAAAAGAGAAATATATGTAATACTCCGATTCCAGAAAGTTCCACCGATGTCGAGGATACTGAGCATTCTCAACTCAGCTACTACGAGTCCGCTCAAGAAAGCTGTTCAACAAAGGCAGAAGTTAAAAGCGTGGAAAGTAAACCCAGAACTCAAGATCCGTCAAAAGCCAATAACACGATGCCCCCCCCACGCTCTTTAAAATTAGAGCCATCGTCCATCAGTCGTTCACCACAAGCACCCTCGCCCGAGAATGGGTTTGCTGGTTGTAATATTCAGAGGTCATGGTCTTTTCACCATCAATCAACTGAGCATGTTCATATCAACGTGGGAACACCTGATACTAACCGGCTACAACCTTCTGCTGCTCAAGCTGTGGCGGACGCACAACAAACCCTCCCACATCAACGGCTCCCAAACCCGCCCGGTGCACCATTCCACAGTGCCCCGGCGTTCACGTGCCCAGCACATGCTCACAGGCGGTACTGTGGCCTCAGTCCACTTGGTTCCATTTCAGAACACAGTTACCAGTCTTCTCAAAGTTTAAAACTCATCAGCTCTACCGGAGATCGTTATTTGCCAGACAGTATCACAACTAAACAACAAACTTTGATGTCGTCAGATACATATGGCCAGTCGGGTCTCACCGGTGAAACACTCGCACAGACTCTCAATAGTCCAATAGTTAAACCTGATCCACATTCTCCTACCCATGGGTTTCATCATGCCACAGGTCCCAAAAGTGTCTACAAGCCTAGAGATGGGCAAGTCATTTCATCACCATCAACATCAGATAAGTCAGCTGTGACAACACTCCCGCACGGTCTCAGTGTTCCAACATATCGTCTACACACTCCTACCGACAGGCCCTGTAACCTCACGGGTCATGTCAGTGCACACCTCATTTCATCAGCACCAGATAATTCAGCTGTGCAATCTGACTGTGCCAGTCATGACTTTGAATTAAATAGAAATTTGACTGAAGTTCAAGGTGCATCCCTACAACATTCTGATATGGCAGATTTACCTTTATCAAATGTGGAGAATATGCTTCAGGAAAAGTTACATATAAATGATTCTGAATCTGACAGAAACACCTTTTCCAGTCTTCTTAGGACAGCACCACTGCCGCCACCACCTCCTCCACCGCCACCCCCTCCACCACCACCCCCTCCTCCACCACCTCCACCCCATACTCACATAACTGCGAACAACTCAAAAGTGAAAATTAGATTCACTGGGAGGAATCTCATTGGGACTTCCCTTGCAACCAATACTGTTAAGGCTCAAGAGGAAAGTGTCATAACTCTGCCCTTTCTTCGGCATGTTGATAAACCTGAGACTGTCATACTTCGGCCACCTGAAGTCACCATCTCTCAGCCACCTCAGCTACATCAACCTCTAGCACAAGTGCTAAAAAACGATGCAGCTCCAGTTCATCATCTCAGTCATGGTCCTCAAACCACTGGAAACACAGACTTCGATGACGCCACCCCTTTCCAGAGACATAAATCTTTATTTAAAAGTTCCCTCCAAAAAGTTGAGCAACTGAGAAACCCTCCACCAAGAGGAGCGCAACAAGCTGCAGACCCACCTTCCCCAGAACATGCCAGGGTCAAGTCTAAAGTGGCAGCCCTTCAAGGTCTACTTGAACAAACGGCTCTGAACATTATTGAACGTCAGAGATACAATCAGTGTCCAGTGGATCAGATAAGCCCTGCACAAGAACCTACGAGGCCATCAGTCCACTCCATCAGAAGGTCTCCTCCAGCAAGTCATTCAAGAACTGTGACCAATGTTGAGGGCATCCAAGTTAAACTTCTTAATTCTACAGCCATTGCCAGATTGGACGGGGCTGAACCTTCACCAGGTCCCAGCCACAGCCAGCTGGCCAGGGAGAAGTCTATTGAAGAGACTCCTACTTATCAGGCCGCAAGGCTTATCTTACAAGCACATCTGAAGCAAAGGAACAATGAGACTGGTCCCAGACAGCCACTGAAAGATCAATCTAAGTTCCAGTCTGAGATAACAGAGATGATGAAGCAAGAGCTGAGGCAAGAGATGAGGCAGCTTGTCCAGAAATCTGAGACACCCTGCATGCAGGAGGGGCTATGTCATCACCCCCACAGCCATCAAGGTGGTGCAGTGAATTATATGCCATGTCACAGTAGTAATTTACAATCTCAATCTCATACACAGTGTCAGAAATCAAAATCAAAGCAAGTGAATGTTGCACATAGTACACATGAAAATCCCATGCCTTTGAAGTTTGCTAATGCTGTGTCTAACTCAGACTTGATAAAAAAGACACCTAGAGCAGACAAACTGGCCCCACTGAATTCAAATATACTACAAGCCCAAACGTCTCATCCAGGTGATAGAGATGAAATCAAACCCGGTGCACCTGCATCAAACCCAAGGAAGCAAGGAGCAGAGACGTCTTGGTTTTCTTTCTTGGAAACTTTTCTTCCTTACTTTGAAACAATTGAGGAATGCCTCGATCATGTTGCGGGGGAAATCGGTAAAATTTTAGTTGCAGAGATAGTGGAGCTAACACATGAGGAAAAAAGACATGGCAATGGTGCATCATCTGTTGAGGAGCTGTCACCAGCCATATCAAACAGGGAGCTAAAACTTTCACCAGCAAGATCTCACAGGGAGCTAAAACTTTCACCAGCAAGATCTCACAGGGAGCTAAAACCTTCACCAGCAAGATCTCACAGGGAGCTAAAACTTTCACCAGCAAGATCTCACAAGGAGCTAAGGACAGAAAATCCTGGAGGAGGAAATGGATCAGTGGAGCAAACAAAGAATCCCTTACAATCACTGACAATGGGACAAGCGCAATCAGAAAGCCCACAGAGTTATTCAAGAAGAGATTTGGTGATGATGGACAGAGATTCTGCAGCAAACCCTACTGTCTTTTACAGCTGTCATTTGCCTTCCCACCATCAGAACCACTTGCAGTGCCACAACGACGAGGACACAAGCAGAGAGGCATCAGAGCTTGCCTTTGAGAATGGTTTAGTCCATAACTTGGACAGCAGCAATGCCAGGAGCAGCGTATCAACCACTCTGGGTAGACATATTTCTCACAGGCCTAGAAGCTTACTTTTGAAGAACCCATCCAGACACAGCAACCACAGTGAACACGATTCTTTGGCACACAACTCTCACAGGAAAGCAAGCCTGACTGTGCACTCGGGCTCCAACCAGAGCAAGAGCTGCAGGAAGTGTCGAGCTGAAGCCAGACTGAAAGCTCTAGGTTCTCACAGCCAGGATCATGTCGCCCGCCCGCTTTACCCCAAATTGAAGACCAACTCGTTCCACTTCCTGCAAGCCCCGGGAGAAAGTAATGTACAGCAGCAGGGAAGTGGCCAAAGTATATCTGAAAATACTTTGTCAGGGAAGCTGTCATCTTGTTATGAGATGGAGGATGAGAGTGTCTCCACAGAGGACTGCTTTAGTGAGCCAGCTTGTGCCAGTGAGGCACCGCATGCTGGAACCTGTAGCAAGCCATCCAAGAAAACAAAACTAAAAAAAGCTCTGAAGACCATGCACAGGAGCCTATCTGACATGAAAGAAAAGAAAAGATTGCAGCCTCCTCTTGTCACGGCTGCTATGGCATCAAGCCAAAAGGAAGACACAGATTTCCTTGTGGAGAAAAGTCTCAGAGACCACTCTATATCTCAGTACCAAAGCATAAGGCAGCCTTCCGCTAAGGATGATCAGCCAAGCATCAGTTGCTCCGAGTTCAAAACTGTCAACTCTTACACTAGTGACCAGCCAACCATCTTCCTTGATACAGTACCTTCAAGACAATCATCTGATGTTCAGAAAATCCCAACAAATCTATTAACTGATGTTCAGAAAATCCCAACAAATCTATTAACTGATGTTCAGAAAATCCCAACAAATCTATCAACTGATGTTAAAAAAATCCCAACAAATCTATCAACTGATGTTCAGAAAAGTCCAACTTTGCCTGAGGCAAAAGATGTCGAATCTGGTTTATCAGGACAGCTGAGAACAATCAATAGCCTGACCCATTCGCCTCGAAGACCTGCACCAACATTGTCAGAGTCAATACGCAAGAGACAAATCACAATTCTCAACCTTGTGGAATCGATGTCTGGAGTAAATCAGTCAAACAGGGAAATGTCAAAGCAACAGGAAATGTCACAGCCTTGCACTTCTCCAATACCACCCAGCACTTCTCCATTACACCCCGGCACTTCTCCATCACAGCCTGGCACTTCTCCATCACAGCCCGGCACTTCTCCATCACAGCCCAGCACATCTCCATCACAGCCCAGCACTTTGAGAAAAGCAAAACTTATTCCACTGAGACCTGCACCAAAGCCACCTGTGTCTAATACAGATCAAGCGTCATCAAAGAGAGCAGCATAGAGTTGTACTTTCGCATTTACTGACTCCATCAAAGTAGATCTCCATCGAAGCCTGTCAAATAAATGTTAGACAAAAATAGGTGGACTTCAAAGCCTTTAACATAGATTTTCCTTACAAAACCCCAGAAAATAAATTTTATTGACAAAGTGTCTCCGTCAAAGCCTGTTTCTTAAATTGAGTAAGTTCCTGGTATTTTTCTTTGAATGTCTTCACGTTTGCAGAGTTTTAAATAGCTAACTGTTTTGTTATAGAGCTGATGATTAATGTACCTGTCTATTTACTGTTATCCTGACAAAAATAAGTCTCCATTAAAGCCTGTAAAGAACAAGCTACTGACCAAATTAGATTTCCACCACAGCCTAAAAAATAAATGTTACTGAGAAAATGTCTCCATCAAAGCCTGTTTCTTAAGTTGAGTAAGTTCCTGGGGCAGACCAATGATATTTATCCAAACCTGTTTACCCTCAAACTCTTAAAATCGTACAAAATCATCACAAAATCTTTTAATACATTATCTTAGTAGTAAAAAAAAAACATGAAGTATATATAATGTATACGCCTGAAAATCGTACATAGCGCCAAAATCGTAAGAGTAAACAGGTCTGTTTATCTTTCATGACGTCTTCATGGCTGCATAGCTTTAAATAGCTGTTTTGTTATGGAGCCAATGTAGATTAATATACTTGTCCATTGACTTTTATCCTGATTGACTGAATGCATATTTTTAATTTTATTTACCGGTTGGTCAAAATCAATGATAAGCCAAAGTTTTCTGCAAGTTTAAATTCACAGCAGCTGTGACAACCATTGCATACCGTTAAATTACCGTCCTGTGACTGAAAATATCATGTAGATGAGTTAGGATTTGGTGGGGTTTGTAAAGTTGGATTGATGTATCAATTCAATGCTCCAGTCATAGCTCTAATAAAGCTATGAATTAATGTTAAGTCATGTCCATCCATTTAGTTTCACAGAAACTCAAGTCTACTTATAAATTCTTCAGTAATGCTTAACAGAGGCGTAGCTAGAGTGTTTAGTGCCCGGGGAAAAGATTCATTTTAAAGCAACTCCCTTCCTTTTTTCAAATCTCAAATCCATTATTTTCAAAATAAAATAATATCAAAGCACATTTTGGCACCTCTAACTAGTCTCACGCCCAGGGACATCTGTCCCCCCCCCCCCACCCCAGCTACGCATCTGATGCTCAATAATGTTAACCTAACGCCCAAGCTACACAAATGGTAAATAATTTCATAATAGCCAACAGATTTATAAATAGATAATATTATCATACAGATCAAGATCCCAATTCATGGATGAACTCATTAAAAATCTAACTATTTGTATCGGACTTTTGTTTTTAAAAAAACAATATTACTGATGGATCAAATGGGTCAGCAAAAAAAAAAAAATTATATGCCACTTATTGCAACTCAGTTACTTTTACACTAAAAAAAAATATTTTTGACAAAGATTGGGGGAAAAAAATTAGTGTTCCATTTCTACATGTTTTGAATTTCAAGTGGTGTAAAGTTCATTTTGTTTGTGACTTTTCTTAAAACATGAATCTGGACAAACAGGGTGAAATGAAAGTGTAAAAATGAACAGTGCAGCAAATATTTATTTGATTGAAATGTCTTGCGTCTGCTCAATCACATAAAAAAACGTTATAAACCTAGAACTCAGCTATGCTTAGTTTTTTTTGGTACTAAAATGTTAATTATTTTAACTTAAACCTTTTGACCAGTGAGCTACATGCATTTGAATAACAATGATTTTCTCAACGTTGTTTTCTTTGGAGCTTAATGGTGGCATTTTTATATTTTATGATTAAGTAGCATTCACACCGGAGTCAGCTACAGAAGCCTCCAAAAAAAGCTCCAACGAAAACAAGATCTTGCAGATCATTGATATAAATATCTGATTGATAAGTTTAAACGAAACTGTCAGTAAGACTTGGAGATCATTTCTGAGGCTTTCAAGTTTGAATGCCACTGTTCTAATCTATGCATTCATGATGTGGCCTTAGTATAGAATCACACAGTCCAATTTTGTATTGATACAACTATTGCTGACTCATGTTTTTAAATATATTTATTTCATATGTTTACAATTATCCTTTCTTCTATTGAGAAATATGTCCGGACAAAAGCCGACATTAACTTAAAATATTTATATTTAATATATTTACATTCCCAATTGTGAGAGTGAAAAAACTACTGGTAAATGCTCCTTCAGCAAAAGAAAGTAATTCAATTTTGTGCCTACATGTTTCATCTTGAAAAATCTATTTTGAGAATATACATTATTTTTTTTAAAGTTAAATTCTTTGGCTGTGACATAAACATGTTGTATTGTGCTCCTTCTGTCTTTTTTACTCTTACTTTTTAAAAATTTTAGGCTTCATGGTAAAGCGTGATAAATTTTGTTTCTCAAAAAAAAAAAAAAGGATTTTAATTTTTGAAAAGTAAATTAATTTTTTTATTGTGTCTTGAATAATTTACATTTCTTTAGCATAATAAATTTTATTTCATAAAAATTTTATCAACTCTGTTGTTGCTGTAAATATAGATAACAATATTTGTTTGATGACTGAGTCAATCCGACTTTTAAATATTTGACAAAAAGGTCTTCTCAAGACCTATACTTCATCTTTTGATTGATACCTGGTAGCAGAATTCATTTGGATTGTTGGAAATTCTTTCTTCATAAATGAAGCTAGATATACTTACCAAACGTGCCCAAGGAACAAACTTGTTTGGCTAATATGCTTTGTCTGAATATATCTACATAATCAAATTCCCATTTGTTGACTTGCATTTTTTTTTAATCAAATGTCTTCCATCAACTAATTTGACATTTTTCATGTGATGATATCATCAAAAGCCTCAAATAATTAATATATATATATTATCTAAGATTTCTTTTATTTGATCTTCATTTGCCACAATAAAAACTTTGCATTGGGATTAAAATAGTGTTGCTTTTTTTTCCTTTGATTTATAAATGTATTCTTTAACATTCCAACATGAAATATGCATGGTAAATAGCATTAGTCTAATGGGACCCGGGTGAGAAATGGCAGCGCTTCGTGTCCGGGGCCATTTTGACTAAATGCTATTCGGATGTTATTTGTGGTAGTTTATTTTAGTTAAACTGAAGAAGTAAGTTTACAAACATATAGTCCATTCAATTATCTTTCATTTGATACCTCATTTGGTCTTACAAACCCACCAATAAATTTTGAATAGTATTTAAATCCCAACCTCTCACTTCTGGTACCCGGGTGTGAATAGCCACTTTGTTTAAAAAACATATGTCATGCTGCGCTTGCCCCTAGTCCCTAGACTCTAATTGTTAAAAAAAAAAAAAAAAAATTAAAAGAATAAAAAAGAACAAAAAAAAAAATCTGGTACCCGGGTGTGAATAGCCACTTTGTTTAAAAAACATATGTCATGCTGCGCTTGCTCCTATTCCCTAGACTCTAATTGTTAAAAAAAAAAAAAAAAAGTTAAAGGCATTGAAATGGTCAACATAAGAAGATTGTGTTCAATTAGCAGACACATAAAAAACAATTTTTTTTAAAATAAATAAATAATCTTTACATCTAGATTTAGCAACGACGAAAAATTGGTTGATGAATACAATTTTTTTTTAAAATTAAGGAGAAAAAAAATAAATGTGCAGAATATTTTGTTGTCCCCTTCCTCTTTTTGTCTCCGAAAACTGTCATAGAAAGAGAGATAGTAGCAGCATAAAAATATAAAATGAGCAGCCAAAGTGCAGGCTACAGATATAACTTTAAAAAATATTAATGCCATATAAACATTTACAATAATATTTACGTTTATTCAAGATGACGAGACCTTGTCACACATTTCAAATATGTGAATTATTTACAAGTCTACTAAAGTCACTGCAACAAATACTTTTACAAATATGAACATTCTAGAATCTAGATTGACGGGTAAAAAATGTCTCGGCTTATGGTATTCAACTTAAATTCAATCTGTGTCCATTCTTGAAAGATTTCTATGAATTTTTTGAGAAATGGGAAGTTTGGGTGAGCACTGATTGGGAGGGTGGCCAATAAGGATTAAAGAGTGCAAAACTCGTAAAGCCTAATGACCTCGGGCTGCAATGGACCTGCCTTTAGTCTAGGGTGACCAAATCTGGAAAAAACGGGACACACCAAAGGAAGGTTTGGTGGGATACCCTCCAGCTACAGAGGGGTCCGGGGGCCCCCGCTGGAAACTGTTTATTGAAAATGATCATTTTAACTATTTTGAGACCTAGAAATCTTTTAACATTTACCTTCACTTTTGTAATTTAATTTAAACTTTCAGGCACATCATAAACGAAAACAATAATTTTGCAGTGAATATGTAGGGACACTGTCTTTTACGCAGCGCGGGAAGAGTGGTAGAAGGGGAACAGTGCAGCCATCACGCGAGCCCACATCACTTCTGGCACTGGCTACACGGCTAGCCAAAATATTAATTGAAGTTATATTTTAAATTAGGAAGTTTTAGCTACGCAGCCGTGAGACAGCTGCTCCTAGGTGACCGTTTCAAGCCACCTTTTCGCCTCGATGGAAATATTCATTGGACCGAGGGGGGAGGGGAACGCCACACCTTTCCCCTGGAGTGGAAGCAAATCTGCCCAGAATCCCTGAGAAAGTCTGCTGCGAACGTTTTAAACGCAGCGTTTTCGGTCGACCGGGCGTCCAGGCCAGGGGGGAGGTTCCTGGCGTGCCGCCGCACGGTCTGGCGGCGGGGAGACCGGGCGTCTGGCTCATGTGGAGGTGTGCCGGGGGTGGCATTAAGAGCTCACGCTCGACGGCCCACCGACACCATTTCCCTCTTTGATGTATTTAGTGATTTGAAAATGTGTTTGATTTTAGAAATGGGACATTTAGGTGTCCCGAGAGACTTTTTCGGGACATCAGGTACGTTTGTAAAAAAAAACAAGACAATCCCGTTTTACGGTAAGTTTGATCACCCTAGTTTAGTTGGGTTATTGTTAAGGACTTATCTATAGTCTGAAGTCTACATTGTCGCCAATATAATTTATTATAATAACACTTAAAATTAAAATAATTTATCCTTGCTTTTCTTGTGCCAGCTAAGGATAAAATATCTTTTAAAAAAATAGTAAAAAATGCATTAACGTCATTTGTTACGGAAAGTGCTACATGCTACATTTCACATTTACTGGCAAACATAATCATAATAATAATATAAATAAAATGCGAAAATACACTTTTAAGTACAAGGGAAATAATAGTGAAAACTACTTCATCCCGCCAATCCGTAATCTACAACAATAATTCGTTAAATTACTCTAGTGATCTGATACTGTATTTGAGTGTCTGGTCTGGACGTCTGGACTACACTCGGTACTCAGCTGCCTTTGGACATGGTGAAAGTGTTATCAATAACTTTTTGAAACGTTTATTTAAAGTTTGATTACTCAGATTTACAAAATGGCTCTTCAGCCGAAACAATGTGGATTGCAATTGGGTAATTTTATAAAATTTTGATTTAAAAAAAAATAAATTCTTGCTCTTAGTAGTAGTTCTAGTTCAGTTAGTTGAGTTAGCGGTGGTTAGCGCTAGCCCTGGGCCTATATTATTAGTGCTTGGCAAAATTCAATCTATAAACTATTGATGAATTCAGTAGTTTGAGTGTGGCCTTGTATATGATATGTCATTGTCAGTATGGGCATGGGTTTGCTGACTTAACTTTAACTCAACTGACTCAAGGCTCAAGAATATTGGCAATCCTCCGAAGTCCGCTCCCAAATTATTTCATATGAAAAAAAATTGCAATGCACAGTTTCTATTGTTAGAAAACAGCAGAAATGTCAGTCATAGCTTTTGAAAATGTCACTTTACAAACCAGTCAGTAAATGTTAAATGTTGTTATTGATAATTGGCGCATCCGCATAGCATTTGCAAATAACAGCCAAAAATGCTCTGCTTGTGACCTTTGCGCCACTGAAGGCTCCAAGTAGCGACTAGTACCACTCTGATAGCAGAGTTTACGTTTCGCTTGCATCCAAAGTCCACATAATTTATGTGTGAATGTCCTGGTCTACTGGATCAACAAAGTCATGTGTGTTGCACAATGACAGCGTGAGCATAAATCCCTTTGTTGAGCTGAGCAACATTGATATCCTCTCCAAGCGTCCGTGACGATAGCTGTCCCTGGTAACACATGATTAGTGATAATGCGCTCAGGTGTTTGTGCATCTCGACGGCCGACAACCTCCATCCAACATCGTCCACTAACGCAAACATGAATTTCAAAACAGAATGATGCCCAAGTCTTTTAAGTAAGGAGTAATCATTGGAAATAATTTGGGACCAGACTTCGGAGGGTTGCCAGAATATTACTACTTCTACTTTTTGGCTACTTGACTCTTCTAAGACTTGTACTACTCACTACTCTATTTCTATCTTCAAATTCTTCTCATCATAGGAAGTGTGGTGGGGGTCAGGAGTCAAACTCGCAGTTTGCAGGACTAACATTTGGCACAGGCTTCAACATGATAATTTAAACTTACAAGTCTTAAACTTAAAATAAAAAAGTATTCATCATTATATATTATTAAATATAAATATATATCCTGCCTACATTCTATACTATATAAGTTAGTGAAAGGCCTTCACAAAGGATAGACATGCCATAAGTCAAAAGCAAAATATTAATAATTAGGCCTATATTATTATTGTATACTATGATTTTTTTGTTAAATAAGTTTATTTTAGGAACTTTGGTAAAGATTATGTAGGAAAACTAGAAAATATGGTATTGTAATTTTTTTTGTAAAATTGGCTTTTTGTGAAATTTAAAAAAAAAACAGATTGCAACTGCTCAGATTAAAAAGTCCACATCCTTATTTTTTATTGGAAAATTTTTAAAATTGAAAAAAACGGAAGTTTAAGCTTTGAAGATTGAAGTTAAAAATTGTTGAACTCCACTGATTAATAACGTTTTAAAATAAAGATATGTAATGATAAATAAATATGTAATAATTTTATGTCATCTATAATATATTAAAAATTCATGAATGTAGAGCATGTCCATGTGTGAAGATTGTCCAAAATGATGTCATTAACGGGGACCATTTTAGGCTACTGGTGTGTACATTTTCATCACAGTGTGTCCATGTTTGTCAGCACATTACCAGTTATCATGGTAATAAGGGGAGAGACTGCAGTCAGGTTAGGCAGAAGAAAATAAACGAAACAAGTCTTCTTCAGCAAACAAAACAGTAGAAACAATATAAAATTAAAATTTCTTAGCTGCAATGTAGTCTCCAAGAGGATAGCAAGAAAAATGTGATAGAACATAATAAGCTAGAGAGTTAATGCAGGCAAAAGGAGAGGTAAGAGGAAGCATAAGTCCACTGCTATTGGTCGTAAAAAGGAGGGGGCAGAGAAAAGGTTTAACAAATCAAGAAGAACTTGAGTCATGACGTTCATGCCTTGTGGTGACAAGGCCTGATAAGTCTGAATCAGTTTATTCTCCAAGTTCACTCTGTTAGGATTGTTAGTACAAGACACAAATGGTGGTGATAGCAAAATCCCTTGAGCCCTTGTGGTCGCTTCTATTGAAGTGTTTTGCGATGGGACTCTGCTTCTCTTGCACAAAATTATGAAGGTGTTCAGTACATCTGTCCAAGAAGCGACATCCAGTCTCACCTATATACGCCATTGGCCATGAGTACAAACTATGACATAGACAACAATGGGTCTAGTACAAAGGAACGTGACATTAAATTATTTTATTTTAATAAGAAAATGCTATACTTAAACATATTTTATTCTTTCATTCCTTAATATATAATATTATCAACGAATCATGTTTGGAGAAATATGCAAGAAACATGGGTCAAAGTGATGAGGGGGGAAAATGGGTAACTAAATGTGGAGGAGAACTCAATGGTAAAAAAGTGCACTTGAGGTCATAACTAAAAAAATTCATAACTTTTGAACCACTTGAGCTAGAACTCTATTCAACTGTACCGGGTACTGGATATTATATTTTACCAAAGTACCTATTTATTTAGACACACACACTAACATAGTATTTATCTTTCATTGTATTGCAAGTTAAAAATAACCCTAGTCCTTACATATTTAGCTTTTTAATCAAATGATGAGGCTTAATAAATGGACTAAATATCAGTAATAGTAAAATCTGTTGATATGGATATCCTTCAAAAGTCTATGAGTGTATTGGTAATTTTTAATGTTTCTTCATTCCAGACAATGCTCAAGAAGTGGGTTTTATTAATTTTTTCAAAAGTTTACCTGAGGTTTGTTACAAATTATAGAAATAGATAAGGAAGTTATTAAAAAAAATTTTTTTCTTATTATAAAAGATTTGTTCACATATTTTGTCTATATTAGTTTAAGTGAAGTACCTTTTGTTTATTTGATGAATCTTCTGCTTATTCGATATACCTTCTGCTTATTTGATATACTTTCTGCTTATTTAAAAATCTGAATTTACCTAAAAGGCAAATCTTTCAATTTATTTTCAGAAACTTGGAACAACTTTACGTGTATTTGATAGAACAGTAAGTTTTGTTGAATATCATTTTAACATAATTTTTTTCATCAAAGATTTTTTATACCATTTCCACAAGCCCAAAGAAATTAACAGCTTGTACAAAGTTTACAGAAATAGTGTGTCCTTTTGATATACATTACATTAATGTTCAGAATCAATAAACTTAGTAAGACACACTGTGTCACACAGGTTTTCCATCTCACATTAATCTTACATATGAAAAAAACCACAAGTAATACTACCTCATGAGAGAACTAGATGGTATACATTAGTAAACGTACAGTTTTTGCCACCCTGGGTGGTCCTTGAGCGGTTGCCCCTCCTGAAACAATTCAATGCTCATCCAACAATATTTTTAAAAGCAAAGCTGTCTAGGGTGGAAACTGACCCTTAAACCCACCCTTTAGCAAGGCTTCTTTTTACAAGCTACTTTTGGTTATCTTAGTGATGTTGCCATTTTGAAAGAAAAAAAATAGAGTTGAGTATAATTGTTTGAATATTTGTACCTAGTTGAATAACAAACATTAATTTGACAGGATTACTACACTGTACATGGAGAGGATGCTGTCTTCGTTGCTAAAGAAGTCTTTAAAACTACTGGAGTCATCAAAACCAGTGGTAGGTCATATTATTAATTAATCCATTCATAAAGCTCCATTCAGTGCGAGTGCTTTTCATAAATATGTTTCTTTCAAAAATATATTTTGTCAACAATGTAATGAAACATTTTCTTTTCTTATTTTTTGTTTTGAAAACTAAAGTGTGTGTAGTGTAATTATTTTAAAATACTTTTGGGACTTTCTTATATTTGCCTTTTAAGGTGTCATGCTAGATGTAGTTTCAATACATTTTTAAATACATTAATTATTAACTTCCCATTTAACTTTTTCTGTCAAACAGGAAGCATGAAATTGGAGTCGGTTATTTTGAGCAAAATGAATTTTGAAGCCTTGGCGCGTGACTTACTACTAGTTCGCCAGTATAGAATTGAGGTCTATGCAAACAAAGGTGGATCTAAGTCAAATGATTGGTCAGTTGCTTTCAAGGTAAAAGATGATTATTTAGTTCTATTGAGAAATTCACTCCTAAATATAACAAATTTCTCATTGTTAATGTTTCATATCTTATACATCTCTTTAGGCATCCCCTGGCAACCTTTCCCAGTTTGAGGACATTTTGTTTGGAAGCTCAGAGATGTCAGTATCTGGTGGGGTTCTTGGTCTTAAAGTTGCCAGTGATGATGGACAAGTGGTAGGATTTTGATACCTCTAAACTTAAATTCATCATCTTTTAAAAAATAGTTACACTTAAGTAAAATAACTGACCGTTGAAGTGGCAAAAATGTTAAATATACAATTATAAACAATTACATTTTTTTTAATGTAAGAACTTTATCCACTACAACGTTACAGCTGTTTATATGAAAGATTTTAAAAAGGCTTAGTGATGAAGACTTAAAGAGAAAAAATAATTTTCAAATGCTTATTACATAAGAATTAAGGTTACATTAATTTTTTTTTATGAAGATCTGCTTCACTTAAAAGGGAGTGTATCATCTAAAATCTATTTGTAATAATTAAATATTAATAATCCACTTATTATATTCAGTGATCAAAGCAGTTTTCACATTTCATTCACTTCTAAATTCAGTGATTGTCTCTTGTCAGTCTGTAGGTATTGGTTATGTTGACCCTATTCTTAGGACCTTCACAGTCAGTGAGTTTGCAGACAACAATCAATTTTCCAACCTTGAGGTACTGATATTTTTTGTTTGATATGCAATTTTTTAGAATATTTTTCTCCTAATACTTAAAATATTTTTTATGACTTTGACAGCTCGTAAGATAGTTTTAAGTTATGTGTCTGATAGTTTTAATGTATGTGTTATTATATTTTAAGGCTCTCCTTGTACAGCTGGGTCCAAAGGAATGTTTGATACCAACTGGAGAAACCCCTGGTGATTCTAACAAGCTAAAACAAGTTCTTACTCGGAGTGGTGTGCTTCTTACTGAGAAAAAGAAATGTAAATATGTCTTGTCTTCTCAACACCACCCGACTACTAGTCCATCACTGAATTTGATTTAAGTTTTTTATTTTATTGTAACTTTTTGTTAATAATATTAATAATATGGCTCTTTATCTTCTCTCACTCTTCAGCTGAATTCAACAACAAAGATATCATACAGGACCTAAACAGACTTTTGAGAGCCAAAAAAGGAGAGAAACCTAATAGTGCCACACTTGGTTAGTGTCTAAGAGATATTTTAAAACACAAGTTTAAGGTTTATTATTAGACATTCTTTAAAATATTACTATTTCTGCAGGCATAGAAATAGTGCACAAAAATACAGATAAACCTAATTTGACCTCTAGCTGATAATGTTAACTGTTCAAAGAAAACTAAAATATTGCATGCTGACTTGTATCTCACTATCTCAAAAAAAAACAAAAAAAAAATGTTTCATTGCATGAAAGTTTGACAAAAATGCAGTTTTACTCACAAAAAGTACAATATTGTTTTTGTATGTATCATTTCTCTAATTCTTTGCATTTAGAAGAACATCTTAAATGCAAGGAATTAGAGAAATGGATACCGGTACATACAAAAACAATATTGTACTTTTTGTGATAAATAAATATATAAAAAAAAAAATTTCTTTTTACTAGAAGAAGCGGCACAAATATAAATTGAAGAACTCTTTTTTACTTATATAATTTTTAAACTACTTTTGAATGATTGCAGAAGTTTAGGTTAGAGAGTGGTTATTACACAGTTGTTTAAAAAATAAAATTAATACATTTAATGATTTATTTTTAGAAGTATTGATGCCTGGTAGCTGTATCATTTTATTTATTTTTTTGTTGCTTAAATAATTTTAACACATTTTCAGAAGAGGTAGACAAAACTATAGCAATGTGTGGCCTTTCAGCAGTCATTCGATATTTAGAGGTGAAGACTTTTCTATATTATTTTTGTATGCTGAAAACAATCATAAGTGTACAATTTGGAGGATAAAAAAATTGTTAAATGTTACAATGTTTATTATTGTATTATAACATTAGACTTCTTAACATAATTCCTTTTTAATATAAAACCTGTCATTTTTGTTTCATAGAATTTTATACCAGAAAGTACTTTAACATTGATATTACAAATTTCATGGATTATGAATGTTATGCTAACCTTTAAATTTAATTTGTAGTTGCTGTCAAATGAAGACAACTTTGGTCAATTCAAAATTTCAACATTTGACCTCAATCTGTACATGAAATTAGATGCAGCAGCAGTGAAAGCACTCAATTTACTCCCCCTGGCCAATGAAGGTTTGTTAATTGCAAAGTAAAGAACTGCATTGTAATTAAAGCAAGCTACTCATTAATTTTATTTTACAATACCGGAGGGAACTTGAATAAAACTTTGTTCTGTGTTTCAACACTAAAATATATTGATATATTAATTTGCTTTTAATTATGATTACCAGTGTGTTTTGCCTAGACTTAAAAATACCAAGACTATTATCTATCTTGGGTTGTGGTAGCTCTATTGATTCATGTTTAAATGCAGCCAACAAGAATCAAAGCTTACTGGGATTGCTTAATCACTGCAGGACAGCCCCAGGTCAAAGGCTTTTAGGACAGTGGGTAAAACAGCCTCTCATGGACTTCAAAAAGATTGGTGAGTAATATCATGTACCATTTATATGTATATTTTTATAAATGTGTTAGCAACATCTTTTTTTAAAAAAAAGCATTTTTAGAGATCAGAGTTTACTATTACAGTGAGTACTGTAGCCAACTTATACATCTTGATGAACTCATGGAACAATTATTTTAATAATGTTTACTTGTACAAGCATAAGTATTAAATAACACGAAAAAATGTCCTTAACTGTAAAAAATATGTTTAGGCAGACGTAATGAACCACAATCAATATCATTTTTAAAATCTTGATTCTTTTCTAGAGGAGAGGCTAAATGTAGTTGAAGCAATGCTCAGTGATAATGAATTAAGACAAATTTTGCATGAAGACCAACTAAGGAAAGTTCCAGATTTTCAGAGACTTGCAAAAAAGTTCCAGAGGAAAAAAGCTACATTACAGGTACAGTATCAGTATGCTGAAAGTCTGTGTAGTTGCTTTCGGCTTTACTTTTTTTACTTCTTTTTTATTTTATGACTATAAAAGTATTGAAAAGTTCAATAGGTTTTGTTACGGGTGTGATGTTTACTTTGTTTATTGGAATTTTTTATTATGTTTTAGGATTGCTACAAGGTTTATCAGGCTTTAGAGAAGCTTCCCAACCTTTTAGAGATTTTGGAGAAACATGAGGGAGAATATAAAGGTCTTCTGGTGGAGCTTTTCTCAAATCCTATCAAGGTAATGTTAAGATCAGCATCTGTAAATGCCTATTGTTCAAAACTGTAATCAGCTCCATGTGAACTCTGACCTCAAAATAACAAGTCGATGTATCACTGTGAAAAAACTTCCTTGACATGTAACTTCATCCTTCTGTGTGACATTTAATTTAGTGAGTAAGGAATTTATAGGCATGCTTTTATTGTATAGAAATCAAACCCATTTAATGAAATGCTTTTAAAAAAAATTATTACAATTATTTTAAAAAAATCAAGTCCCACCTTCCAAATGACAATAATTGCTATTTATTTTAAAAATAGTTCATATCCCATCCCATTTGTTTTATGAATTCTACTTGATTTAAAAGCTTATTAATGATCCTATCACTCAGTTTCCTTAGCACCCAATCCCTTCATTTTTTTCTTACTCTTTAATGTTATACACAGGCTCTATCCATATCTCCTTAATTTATGCACAGGCTCTATAAATGATCTCCTTTTACAATACAAATACATTGATGTTTGTATGAAGCACAGACTAGTAATACTTAGAAATCCAAGCAGTGGCATATTCTTATTTGTATGAAATACTGAAGAGAACTACACACTCAGATACATAAACTTATAAATAAAATTTGGCAAGAAGAGAAAATTCCAACAGAATTGGAAACAGCATTAATAACCCCAATACACAAGAAAGGCTCCAAACTTCAGTGCACAAACTATAGAGGAATCTCCCCATTAAATGTTTCATACAAAATACTGACGAAGCTAATTTCCAAAAGACAACACCGTACATACACTGAAGAAATATTAGGTTCAAGGAGAATATTCAAGGTAATTTCAGATTAGACGAGGCCTAAGACTTGAGACTCACTGTCTTGTGTGTTATTTAACCTAACAGTGGAGAGAGTTATAAGAAGCATACATATTGGCATCCAAGGAACAATAACAGGATACTTTCTGAGGGAAACCCAAGACCCACAACCAATGGGCTCTCTCTACAATCAACCCCTTCAGTATCTTGCATATGCTGATGACATAGCACTGCTAGGGAAAAGTAATAAAGACATATCAATATCCTTTATTGAATTAGAAGATGCATCACTACAAGCAGGGCTGGAAGTTAACAACCAATATCCTTTATTGAATTAGAAGATGCATCACTACAAGCAGGGCTGGAAGTTAACAACCAAAAAATAAAATACATGACTATGATAAGAGAAGAACAGACAGATGAAGTCATTAAAATTAGAAACAGACTTTTGAAAAAGTAACTGAATTCAAATACCTAGGATCTTTATTAAATGAAATGAAATGAATTACTAACAGAAATAAAAGAAAGAATATCAGCCGGAAACAGGGCATACTTCAGTAGTCAGAAAATACTCAAAAGTAAAAACATTACAAGAGAAATAAAGAAAACTAAATATAAAACTGTAATCAGACCAGTTGTAACATATGCAAGTAAAACTTGGACCCTAACAAAAACGGCAGAAAACCTATTAAACACATGGGAGAGAAAAGTTCTCAGGAAAATATATGGAACGACAAAGTATTAATATGGATGGAAAATACGAACCAACCTTGAATTGTACAGTCTATATCATGATCCCATGATGGTAGCAGAAATAAAAAATAGGGTAGGCTACGCTGGGCAGGACACTTAGAGAGGACAGAGGAGTGAAGAGGTTGTATCACTAAAACTCCAGAGACAAACGGCTCAAATGCAGACCTAGCCTTAGATGGATGGATTATGTGGAAAAAGATCTAAAGCAACTGGGAATCTAGCATAGAAAAGAAAAGCATTAGTCGCATCCGAGTGGAAGGAAGTAAGGAGGCAGGCCAAAGCTCTGTAGCCTGTAGCACAGCAGGGATGGATGAAACACTGAAGTCATATATATTCTACATCATTAATAAGTGGTGTGGTTTAAACTCTATTTCAGAGGATATATATATATGATTCAATTAAATTTTAATTGAAAGAACATTAAATCCAGTTTAGATCTAAAAGCGATGCGTCTGACAATGGTTAAAGTATAATTATTATATGTTTAATCTGTGCTTATTTTAAATAATAGCATTATTATTTTATTATTAGATATTCTATCACACTTTGTTGCATTTTTATTATTAAATGCTTTAAATCTATGGTTTTATGAAAAGGTATATGTACCGGTACAAATGCTATTTACCTTTTTTAAACAAGTAACATTGGATTGACAGATGATAATGAAAATGGTCTAAGAAAATAATTTAGATCACCTTTTCTCAACCTTATTTAGCTGTGTGGCCCCCCATCTCTGTTTTTTTTTTCAAAGTTTTTGTTTGCAGGCATCCTTGGTTAATTGTTTATAAATTAATAAAACCGAGTAGCTGGAAGATTTTCATTTAACTTTAAAGTGTTAGTCATACCGTACTTATACTATCCTAAATATCATGAGTGATGGCCTTCTTGCTCCTTGAAGTATTCTTGTTCATTTATTTACATCTCAATGCTGAAACTCATTTCACTGTGAACAGATGCTACTGCATTTTTTAAATCTCCAACACGTTCATTGAAGTGTCAGCCAGAAGTCAAATCTCTACTATAGAGTTACAAGGGTACCTTCATTGATATATAGTTACAAATTCTTTCTTACCCAGCCAAGGTTATTAAAAGGCTCTCTTTAATATGCTAATATCCATTATCAAGTCCTCAATGAATCCCTCTTATGGAGCTGGGATTGGTGTTGTAAAGTTGAAAAGCGATTGAAGCATGATAGATCACTTGTGTGCTTTAGGATATAACTGCAACCCCCTAACTAGTTTTTTCTCCCCACCCTTTAATGACTCATGCTTGTAGCCTTTCATCCCCCTTGCTCTTTTAATATTGGATCCATTCATTATAAACTAGTAGTACTAGTAGTCATCTTGAGGACGGTGGTGGTGGGGGTGGTAGTGGTTGTGGTGGCAGCAGTGGTGGTGGCGGTGGTAGTAGTGGGGGTGGTAGTGGTTGTGGTGGTAGTATTGGTGGCGTTGGCACTTCTAAAGTGACACAAGTTTCATTTACTTGTCCGTTGACTTAAACCAAAAGTACAAGATGAAAACATTGACTCATTAGCCAGCTAGCACTTGATGAAAATAATGAAAAGCTGATCCAAAGTATATAAGATTTAAATTTAATCGATTCTAAACTTGAAATTGTAAGTTACACTGTTTTCACATTTCTTATAGACACTATTTTTTAGTTATTTATCCTGGACTGAAGGGCCATCTCATTTAATTTACTGGTTAAGTTTTTAAAGAAATAGTGGAACAAGATGTGTTTAGACTTGATTAAAAAAAAACAGGACAGTTACATGGACATTTTGGCTAAGTGCCTCCTGCAGCAGACAAGATAAAACAACAAATAATTATAAATTTTAAAACGCATGTGTTAAAAAATCTCAATGTAGTTCTCTCAGTCTCTGTTCAGAAATAACTTTTTCACGGCATAATTCATTTAAACCAATGGCCCCAACCTTACCAGCCTTCCATACCTAACAATCTTCCTGATTGACATATTCCTCACCCCCTAATATATCTAAAAACATATTTTACTTACCACAAACTGACATTCTTGATAACTGATTTTAAAAATGTTGATTGTTTACTCAAAGCATTTTAATTTTCAACAAGACCCTTTTTAAATTCAAAGTAGAATTAGTTGATAAAAACAAAGTTTTCTCTTCACTAGGAGTTGCTGACTGACTTTGTCAAATTTCAAGATATGGTGCAGACTACAGTGGACCTGGAACAAGTTCAGAACCATGAATATATGATCAGAGCTGACTTTGATGAAAATTTAACAGGTGTGATATTTCATATTTCCATGAAGGAAACATTTTTTAAATTTGCATTACATTTTTATACTTGTCTTCAATTTTTTTTAATGCATTTTACATAGTCTATAACCGAAGAAAGGCAAGAGCATTTGAAATATGCTGGTATGAGGTAATTCAAATTGAAATGAAAGTTTTATATGTTCTAATGATTCATCTGTTAACCAAATTTTATGTAATCAATTTATAGAGCTGCGGAAAAAAATAGATGAGCTAGAAGAGAACATCAAAGGCCAACTCAATAAGGTGATGAGTTTAAAATAAATAAATAAATAAAATGTACTTTTAAACCATTTGCATTATATTGTTCCGAAAACTCTTCTTTTTTCTTTTATTACCACTCAACTTAACACTTCTGTTGCCTTTTTTATAAATTTTTAGATGGCCTTATCTAAGGATATCTATTTTTCAGTTACAAATTATCAATCAAAAGGTATTTTTTTAAATAAGTGTCTGGGATGAAATTTGTTACTACTGATATTTTTCAGGTGGCAAGGGACCTTGGTCTTGAACCCAATAAAACCGTCAAGTTGGAGAACAATAGCCAGTTGGGGTATTTTTTTAGAGTGACAAGAAAGGTAATCATTTTTTTTTCCCACAAATCTTGTCATTATTGTTATTATGTTTATAGAAAGCCTTCAGATTTTTGGGTAGGATGAGAATGGGAATGAAAGAACTCATTATAATCAAAGTAACAGTTTTTGACCAAAAATGGGAACATGTACATTGGGTAGATGATACTTTAACAAATTAAACTCACTGTCTTTAATAATATTATAATTATTTCAATACCAACTATGATAAATTCTATCAACTGCCTGGTTCTCATCATCAGGAAGAAAAAGCCTTGAGAAACAATAAGCAATATTACACTATTGACACCAAAAATAATGGAGTCCGGTTTCACAACAGTGCAACACGGAAATATAACGAGGAGTACCAACGGGCACGGGATGAGTATGGGGAGCAGCAAAAAAGTGTGGTGGCAGAGGTTATCAACATTGCTGGTACGCTCAAATGAAACTAGGTCACTGAAGTTTATGTAGATATTGTCTTAGTTATTTAATAATATATCTTTATGGAATTGGTTCAAATCAGGCAGCTTCTCATATCAAAGAGTCCATGAGATAATTATGTAACACTCTGTATGTAGTTATTATTAATCAAACACTTTTTTCTTCTCATATTCAGCTGGCTATGCAGAACCTATGAGCCTCATGAGTGATATCCTAGCTCAACTTGATGTTCTTGTGGCTTTTTCAATTGCTTCAGTATCTGCCCCTATCCCTTATGTCAGGCCAAAATTATACCCTAAAGGTAAAAAAAAAAATCAAAGATTTCACCAAAAATTTCATTGTAAAGTAGTTTTTTTGTGTTTTTTTTTTATCAAGAACTTTAATTTCACTAAATAACTGTCTAATAACTAGCTCAACTTTATGTTTTTGTGGTTTTTTCAATTGCTTCAGTATCTGCCCCTATCCCTTATGTCAGGCCAAAATTATACCCTAAAGGTAAAAAAAAAAAATCAAAGATTTCACCAAAAATTTCATTGTAAAGTAGTTTTTTTGTGTTTTTTTTTTATCAAGAACTTTAATTTCACTAAATAACTGTCTAATAATATTTGTACATTTTTAAAGCATGTGTCATCCTAAATTTTTACAACAAAATAATTTTGGATAATTTCAGATTTGTTAGAAAGAGATAAACAAAAGAAGTTCTATTTGTGGTTATCAGTAACTTGTGGTTTTATTTGTGGTTATCGCTAAGAGGGATGCATTGGGAGTCCTCCTTTTGTATCCATCTTAGATCAAGTGGCACATTGTTGGAGAGGAAATGTATGAAAAACAGTAATTTTTAGATATTTTTACAATGACGTTTTAAAATCTACTTGCAGTGCTGGTAGTTACCATTCTAATGGCCCATTCCTTTAATTTAGGTGAAGGCATCCTACGTCTTCAAGAACTTAGACACCCATGTTTAGAAAAACAAGATGATGTTTCATATATACCAAACGATGCCATCTTTGAGAAGGGTAAAGCTAGACAATTTGACTGGGTTCACTGACATTATGTTTCATTTAACATTACAGCCTAGTTTCTGTGTGACCCCTTTAAACATTGTAATGCTTAGAAATTAAATTCACCAAGTTTTAATCTCATCTAAACTATTTGTTCTTTTTGTACCGGTATTTGTAACAATAACTTTAAATTTTATCTTAAAAGTATTTCACTTTCAGATAAAAAGATGTTCCACATAATCACAGGGCCGAATATGGGTGGCAAATCAACTTACATAAGATCAGTATGTTATTATCTTATATATATATTTTTACTACCGAATCCATTATTATTTTTATTTAATATTAAAATTTCTTTTTATAAAAATTAAACTTAATATTAATCCATGCACATTAACTGTTTTCAACATCTGTTTATTATGTACTTTATTATTTAAAAAAAAAAAACTTTCTGTGTTTGATGAAAATTGTTGCTGTTACTCTCTAAATGTGGAAGTCAGGTTTTCCAACTTTTACAGGTTCTACTGAAAACTTAATGAAATAATTGGGTTAGGTCAAGTAACAATAATTTTATTTTTCTTCTTTGCTATTTTTAAGGACATGGGAAGCTTGAGATCTAAATAAATTTGTTTAAAACAAAACCATCTAAAATAAATTATACTTGCACTAGAGAGTTGCATCGACGATATGATTTTCTTCCATTTGACTGCATGAATAATGCTATAGAACTGAATAAGTCATTTAAAATAAGCAGCTATATAAGATCTAATCATGAGAATTTTTTGATATAGACTCAGTGTGAAAGCGCAATCTTATTATGAATTTTTTTGTCTAAAACCTGAGGTTGGAGTATGTGTCGTGATGGCTCAGCTTGGCTGTTATGTGCCTTGTCAGAGTGCAGAGATCAGCATTGTAGACTGCATCCTGGCACGAGTAGGTGCTGGAGACATCCAGCTGAAGGGTGTCTCTACTTTCATGGCAGAGATGTTAGAGACAGCTTCAATACTCAGGGTAAGAGAGACCTGGTATTTTTCTTTTCAATGTAAAGTCCATTCAAAGTTTCAAAGAAAAGCAGGTTTTATTAACCAATATCATTTAAATAAATTTCAGTAATAAGATATTTAATTACCCTAAGAGCTATAATTATCCCATATCCCACACTCTTTATGTATTTCTGTATTGACAAAAACCTTTCATTTTCATACTTTTGTTTTCAAAGCCACATAAAAAAACACCTATACTGATAATTACTGAAGAAGATCATAATTCCGAATAGCAAAAAAAGTATTTTATTATTTTAATTGCGGTCATATCTCTGTTAAATGATCTGGGAAGCAAATTCATGATAATAAAACTATTACATTTCATATCTTTTATTTATTTTTAAATTGTGGTTTTTGTTTGCATACATTTAGGTAGCTACCTCAGATTCTTTGATAATTATCGATGAGCTTGGAAGAGGTACCTCAACATATGACGGTTTTGGCCTTGCATGGGCCATTTCAGAGTAAGATAAATCTTATTTTAACTACCGGTATATTTTTTATTTTATGAAAGTGAAAGTAAATTTTAATACTAAAATGAGTTCAAATGACCAGTAAGCAAAATAATATGAATGAGCTTATGTGTAAAAATTGGAAACACTAGTTATATAGGAACACAGCTAACGCATTTCTCTTCAATTCTAATTTAAGGCACATAGCAACCAAGATCAACTGTTTCTGTCTTTTCGCGACCCATTTTCATGAACTGACAGCTCTATCCGATGAAGTATCCACAGTAAACAATCTACAAGTCACAGCTTTAACCACAAATGATACTTTAACTCTTCTGTACCGAGTAAAACCAGGCAAGGCAATATGATTCAAGTTTTTAAAGATACAAATTTCACTTCATAAAGGATACAAATTTCACTTCATAAAGTATACAAATTTCACTTCATAAAGTTAATTTACAAATAAAGTTTAGATTATAAAAATTTAAAAAAACTACTACTAACATAATACAAGAGTATAATTGTTCAGAGTTATAAAGTATGTTTTTATACATTCTTTTAATTTTTTTTTTTTTTTTTTTTTTCTGCTCAGGTGTCTGCGATCAAAGTTTTGGAATTCATGTGGCAGAGCTGGCTCATTTTCCTAAAAAGGTTATTGAGGTATTGAGATAATCTTTTTTATAACTTTCTTAAATCTCTTGTAATAATGGGTTCCTTAAGAATGAGGGAAAACTGTTGTTTAAATTAAATTTTAACACTATTTTGCAGAATGCAAAGAAAATAGCAGTTGAACTTGAAGATTTTCAAACCCTGGGTCTGGAGGGCTCTGGTTTAGAAGGAGATGACGAGCCTGCTGTCAAGCGTAGAAAACTAGCAAAAAAGGTACATTTTCTATGATTATAGAAATACATTTTGTTCTATTCTTGAAAACAGAAATATAGATATAATCAAAGAGTACATTTTTATCTGTCATATTTTCTGACTTTAAAAAGGGCAGACATGTGAAAGCTCTGTTACAAGTTAAATATATCTAGTACCTTGATCTAGATTTTAATCTATCTAAAGCCGAGTGTTTAGTTACAAGGTTAATTCAGCGTTAACACTGGTATAGGTGTGTTCTTTAGTCAGAGTATTAGTTACAATGTCATCTGAATGTTTAATTAAACTTTTGTGCCTTTAGTCATGATAAATGAAAATCAAAATAAATGTTCTTAAATATTTTGTTTTAGGAAGGAGAAGAAATAATCCAAGACTTTCTTGCCAAAGTCAAGCAGCTCTCTTGTGAATCATTATCATCTGACGAATTGATGGCTGAAGTAAATAAGTTGAAGAAGGAAGTTGATCAGAGGAATAACCCATATATCAAAGATCTTTTGGCAAAGAAACAAATAGTTTAGTTAGTGGGGGGAAAAAATGAAAAATAAAGTTGATTTGAGCATGTGTCAAAACTGGCAGCTTACTGTTAGTGGAACTTTTCATATTTTAAAATAAAAGAAAATAACAGTTTGAAAAAGTCTACTTAGATTACCCTTTAAAGAATGTTAGCTCAAATGATTTTATGTTTTTTATAATTTAATTACCAGTGTAACAGTTTGTGTAAAAATTTGTATGACAGTCAGTATTACAGTTTTTTATAAACATATTTTTCTAAAGTTATAATTTTCATAAACATTTCAAATTCCACAATGCTTATGATGAAACCATCAGTTTAAATACATAAAGTTGTATATTTCATGTTATGAATTTGTAATGTCATTTCAGGTTATAAAATTTCATTTTAATAAAGCTTTATACAAAACATTTTTTTTCTATTTAGAGTTTGTTACTAACTCTATATTCTGTTCTTGTAAATATTAAAATAAATGAAGACAGACATTAATCTTCTTGTAAACATGTAGAAGTTAAAGGTATAGTAAATTATGAAAGGGTCAATTATCTTCCCCAAGTATGAAGGTACAAATGTTAGTACAACTTATTATTTTGATCTCCTATGTTTCAGACTCTAATGTGATTAAAGGAAGAGGCCTAATTATGAGAATTTTGTTTTATTTATTCAAGATTCTGTAATTTGCAGTACATCCTATATGACCTACTTTATTTCAACTTTAAAGCATTTGTTGCCCCTTTATAGATGTCTAAAATAATAATATTAAAAACAAAGTGAATATTTTTCATCAGCATCACTTAAAATTCAACATTAACATCTCCATCAATCAGGTGCCGGTATGAGGACTGATAAATGGTAACTGAAAATTTTACGTCAATTTTTAAAAAAATGACGTAATTGATTTCAAATAATTGAAAATTAATGGTTATACACCTTGGGGGTGGGGTGTGTTTGAAAATTAAGGTATAAATTTGCAGGGGAGCTAATGACTTACACTTACACGCTGAGAAAATCAATAAAATTGTAGTTGGTAACTTTGTACAACTGAGGCTGAGGAGAAAACTTCAGTAACATGCAAGCAGAAATGTCTCACTCACATGCCACTATGGAATCTGCATTCGTAAAGTTATCTTATTCCCCCCCCCCCCCTTTTTTTTTTTTTTTTTTGAACTTTTTAGCCCTTCATCCCTGTTACAATCTGTCACAAATCTCATGACCCCCCCCCCCCTTTTTCACACTTTCGTAATAAAAATAAAAAACAAACATTATCAGCTAATTAAAGTTTATATACAACAATCTTACTGTCACGTATTATTCCTCTATGAAATGTGTAAGGGTGAGATCTTCTGATAGAATATATCTGTCACAACAGAAAGTTAATTTTAGGGTTTATTTGTATGATAAAAATAATCAAATGTGTGACGTCACAAAAGATCCTTCCCCCACCCCGCCCCCGTGTCACAAACACACACTTTCTTAGACCCACCCCCACTTTCTGGACAGCCTTTTATTCTATAATATAATTTACTATTGTACTACTTTACTATATATTTAAGATAAATTAAATTGTCTCAGTACTTATATAAATGGAAAAGAGAATTTGCTTGTTGTAGGCTGCTTGCAACAGTTGTGGTAAAAAATCCCCATTACTCACACGGGAGTCCCCGTGATGAGCAATAACAAAAAAAGTCCAATCGATTGAATATATTTATGGAAAAATAAAGCCTTTGAGGATGCGGGGGATGGAAATGCGTAATGAACGGTTATAGGAGTTTCCTTTTAATAATAGCCTTAAAGTAGAATGCGTTAGCCCAGTCTACTAGCTTTTTCAAGAGTGAACCCTGGGCCGCGGCTGCCAAAAAGGTAAAGTAGAGGGGTGCAGTTCATAGTTTACACGTTACGGTATCAGAGGGGCACTCGTCGGTTAGCATTCGACCCCTCCCCATGCGCATGCGCTATTACCTTTCAGAAGCAATGGGAGATCGTTGGAGTTACTGCCACAGCCGACTCTGAGACGACTGTTTATTTTTTTTAAAGCAATTACTCGCTATGGAATTATTGTGAATATTCAATAATGTGAGGAATTCTACTTATTAAGTGTCTTTTCTATTTATTGGAGTACTTGTTGAAAATGTCGCTTTCTAAAAAAGAGGAATACGAGCGATTGCGTGGTCTCATCAATCAGTGGAATGTTGATCATTACGATATTTTCGAATTGAGTCAGCCAAATGAAGTAAGTAATTCTTCTGTATGATTAAACAACCCCACAAAATGCAACTTAATTTTATTTCTTAACATTATATGTTCCTATTTTAATTGATATCATCTAAATAGCTTAAATGTAGATTTAAGTATATTTCGTAATTTACCTGTGTGCAATGGAGACACAGGTGACACCATTTTTCAAGCGTCAACAACAATCCAAAATGGCCGACCTTGAAAACATACCTGTCCCATATACAAATCTTACTCTTTACTATACCATAAGTTGAGCATATAGAAATTCGATACCTGATACCGTGTTCCTTTTTAGATTTTCTTTACAAAAATAGTTGTTTAGCTTTAAATTTTGTATTGGAGAGGACTATACTAATACTATGCATCAAGTAGTAGTACATAGCCAACTTTTGGCTTTTGTTGCCCACAGTCACAGTACGACATCAAATGTCATCTACTAGTACGAGACGTACGACTTACCACACTGAGTGTATATTACCATAGTTCATTATCCATTCATTTGAAATCTGTCACTAAAACGGAAGTTCCTCGTTCTTTAAAAAAAAAAAGTGTGGTGTCTTTTATTTTAAGTTAACATTTAATTGCATTTAAATTTAACTAAAGCTAAAGATTAACCAAAGACAGAAAGAGAAAGCAAGAAAGAAAAAATCAAAACTAATTATTCATTAATTAATAATGAAATGTCAAAATGGCTAGGACTAGGTCGACTAGGCCTGATAATATTAATAGGCGTGATCTAAATTTAAAATCATTAAAGATGTACTAGCATTACTAACTGTTTCTGGCATTAGTAGTAAGTAGAACTAGACTACTGGTAGCTAGGCCTACTGTTAGTGACCATTTCCTATTACTATTTCTAACTCTTAACCTTTAGTTTAAGATATACTTTGAAATACCCCTATAACAAATTAAACTTAATTTTTAACCCACTCATCCCAGTCAATGTACGAAACTCTAAATAATATTGGTATAATTTGATGTACACAATCAATAAAAAAATAAGAAATGTGAAACTCCGAGCTACATATGTAGCATAGCAGTTCCAACATCCCAGAAGAATAAATCAAGTGGTTAACTCATATGATAAAAATAAAGAACCTAGTCACCTGCATAAAACAAATTGCCTAATTCACTAGGTAGGGATTATTCATTTATTGTCAGATAAAATATAGTGCTTTTATACTGCTTCTTCTAAAAAATCCCATTTTATAAGATTAGAAGGTATTAACATATTCCATCCAATTAAAATATTTTTATTTGGGCATTTTATGGCCATCCAATATTTTATAATTCTTAAAATAATGTTAAAATTAATGTAATTAAGTTAAATCTTACTGGATGAAATCGGCTAAGTGATGCAGCTATTCTTTGGGTGGAAAGCACTTAGTAAAAAAGAGTTAAACTCTTTTCATGAAAGATGGATTTTCGTTAAGTGTCATACTCATTTATGTCTTGTAGGAGTAATGACATAGTCGCCCCCCCCCCCCCCCCCTTTTTTTTTTTTTTTTTTTAATTCTTTTTTTCCCTTTGTCCCCCCCCCCCCCCCCTTTTTTTTTTTTTTTACTTTCTCATAATAACCTGGCTATGGGCATTAGTGCCATTAGATAAAGACATCACATGCATGTGTTGTTTTTATTCAATCTGAACTTTTCACACATTCTAATATGAGTAACATGATTTAGCCAGAAATATTTTCTGTTTCAGGATTTAGAATTTCATGGAGTAGTGAGATTTTTCTTCCAAGGTGGTATTGGTGCAAATGTCATAACAAAATGTATCAGAGTATCCAGCACTGCTACGACAAGGGAAGTCATAGACGTGCTGATAGAAAAATTCAGGCCAGACATGCGCATGCTTTCTCAGAACAAATATGCTCTTTATGAAGTTCATGTTAATGGAGGTAAGCTTTTGAAATTGTCACTAGGTTTTATACCATAACTATGGCATTTGTTGTATTTTTATATTATGTTTTGGGAATTTAACTTGTTAAATAACTATGCATGACCCAGAATTTTATCTCCTTAAATAGAAACAATATCTAAATTGCTTTTTTGTTTTTAGAAATCTGTAACCCTAAATGTTTTAATTTGAAAAAAATTACATGTGAAAGGTTGGCTATGTACAGTTTATTTTTTCCTGTTACTACTGTCTAAAAGATCATAAAAACCTTTGCTAGGGATGTTATATGTGAAACAAGGTATGCGGAAACCTGAAAAAAAAAGGATGTTTCAAAACAATGAAGGTGTCGGCAAGAATTCTGACTAACAGAATATAAAAATAAAAACATTTTAGCTGAGTTTCAATCTTTATATTTGTGTCATTTCCTTCTATCTAAACCTGATTGCAGTCTTTCCCCCCTTATTGCCAGCGATGTTATGTTGCTGCCCTTTTTTTTTTTTCATTTAGGCCATATTTTCACTGCTTTTAGAGATGATGTTTTTGATGTCTAGATTAAAGACAAAAAACATTTTTGTGGTGATGATTTCTTGCTTCAATTGTCCTTTTGTTTTGGAACAAATTTAGGCTACTTGTTGTAAAGATATCTCTTTTGTAAACTGGAAAATTAACTAAAACCCATATATTAAACCTGTAGTGTAGATTTTTTAAATACAAAGTATAACATCACTTCTAAAGCTGTTGTTAAATTGTTGCTGGGTTATGTGTTTTATCTTTCCATTTGTAAGAACACCAGGTAATTATTATATTGACTTATAATTTGGCATTGTAATATTGCATGTACTTAGTATTAGAAGGGGAAAAAAATGAGATTCAAATAGTTTCATGTCCTGATCTATGTCTATAGCACTAGATAGAATGGAGGTATAGACATAAATACATATTTCACTTATTTTTTTACATTGTCCATTGTTTGTTTTTGACTGATATAACAGTTTAGCTGGGGAAACCTTTTCCCTGGTATTTTTGAGACAATCTGTGTAAGTTAGCTATCTGTGTCAGTGTGTGTAAGATGTATGTGACAGTCTCTTTACCTGAGCTCTGGACTCGGGATAGATGTCTCGTTTCCGTTTCATGACAGCGTCTCTCAGCAATCAAATTGTATTTTTAGAGGATAGTTTCTTACAGTCTAGCGACC